TTTTTGATGGTATTGGAAATTCAGCTCAAGCCCTCATAGATGATAGGCAAGCACTCTAACACTGACCTATACTCTCAGCCCTTTTTATTTTATTGGGAGACAGGATCTCATTGTTATCCAGGCTGGCTTCAAACTTGCGATCCTCCTGCTTCGGCCTCCCAAGTAGCTGGGATTCTAGGTGTGTGTCACTATGCCCAGCTCAACGAGTGGATTTTGATTGGGGAGGGTACAGATATTCAGTCCATAGCAGATGACATCTGCTTTTTGGTTATTGTAAATAATGCTACTATGGTTATAGTGTATGGAAGTCTCTTCCTGTTATCATTTTTCTTTTGGACATATACTACAATTGGTTTTTTAACCAGGGACTGAACTCAGGACCATGCGCTTGTAAGGCAGGCAGTACGCCACTGAGCTACATCCCTGACCCGGGCATATGCTACTCTTGGCATTCCCTCCCTCCTCCTCTTTCTTCCTCCCTCTCTCCCTCCTTCCCTCTCTTCCTTCCTTCTGATGCTGGGATTAAACCCAGAGACTTATGCTTGCTAAACAGGTACTCTGCCACTGACTACACTCCCAGCCCATACTGCTTTCTTTACTTAGGATTACACAGTTAGAACTCAGGATGTGGGGGAGAAATCAGCCTCATTTGGTGATTGGCATCCCTTTCTAAGACTATATTTCAAAAGAAGACCATGTCTGTCAGTTTTTGACCTGTATCTGTTTGGCAACTTTTGTCCTGTAATGAAAACGATAGTTTGGGATGATTAGGATGATAACTAAAAGGTTCTGAATACTTACTTTGTCCCAAACACTGGTCTGAACTCCTTTGCCTATTTTAAATCACTTCATCTTCACAATCTATATGCGATCTTACATATGAGGAAACTGAGTCATAGAGAAGTAGAACCATGGAACAGCAGGGACAGATGAGATCATTTAATTCAGTGTTCACTCTCACAGATGAAGGAAAGGAGTCCTCAAGGAAAAGCCTGCCTGAGGCACAAGGTTACACTGTGACCAAGCTGGGGTGAGTGCACCGGCTTCCAGACGTCTGGAATCCCTGGGCTCCCTGCTCTTACTGCTCTAAGACGGGATTCCATCCATTTATTTTATTTATCCCATTGACCCAGGTGAAACCTCTTCTGCGAGGCATCTGGATCCAGCTGGATATGCCTGGTCCTCCTCCTGATAATTACTGGGGCAGGACTTCACTGAAATATGATGGGAGAGGATTACACGTTTGGCTCTAGGGTTTTGTGAAAACACCTGGGAGTAGTGCATTAATATTAGTCAAGGACTGAAAGAGCCTTTTTAAGAAGTGGAGATAAATTTTGGCAAAATTGGGTTGCACAGAGAAGTATTCAATAGACCATGAGAGAGCTACCCACAATTTTGATTTGTTTTTCTACTGGTGCAAATTATTCAAATAGTGAAAACCTGAAGTCTGCCTCTCTTGCAAATTGGCACCCACCCCCAAGTCACAAGTGAGCCCGTACACATGGTGGGCCTGTGTTTTTCATTATGTTCTATTACTCTTTAGGTTTTGTAGTTAGTCCGCATTACACATTTCTTTCGTGTTTTTCCTGAACTTTATGAACTCTGGCATTTCATTTCACGGATGTATATCCAAGGGGAAAGTAGCCTCCCTTTGATCTTCCTCAGGACCTCATTATGTTTAACCCAAGAAAGATTAGGGAGCTTTCTTTCAATGCTGAACAAACACAGAACTCAGCTGCAAAGATGGTGGGAGCTTAATCTATTTACAACATCAACTCCATTATGAACTCACTGCACCTCAAGCTGACTGTAGAAAGCATTGTACTGAATGGATTCCCATCTGCTTTTGGAGGCTGCACACATATGGCCCAAGGTTCTGGATATATTGTCCTCCCCACCAAGGAATCTACAGTGTGAGAATTTCGACTATGTAGTTTTTTTTAATCTTTGAAATCACTGTCATGTTGGTTCTTCATTCTTCGGTAGGCAAGTTGTATTACTTGCTGGTTCTCGCTGTCTCTTTGAACTGAGCTGGCTATTTCTGGAAAGCACTCTCACCTTCTCATGTTTTTAACAATATCTGCTCCACCGGTGACAGGAATAAGCTCCAGTCCTTCGACAAACAATCCTCTGAGCCAGGGTGAACTCAGAGGGACAAAGAGCTCGGCAAACCAGGCACCTCTGCACTGTTTCAGAACAACCCTTTGAAGCAACCTGCAGCTTTAATTGTGACACACTGCCCCTGCTAGCCTCAAAATAAGAAAGGAAGAACAAAACAAAATCAAGTGCTAGTCTGTCAGTCATCCTAAGGCATTGATGGAGATTTATTTTCCTAATGAAAGCTCCAACATGAATGGTGGCACTGTCTGCAGTCAGTTAGGCTTCAGTGTTATTTAATTCACAGTGAAGTGACAATCTGACTGGACTGTGATTAGTTCCAGCCTTTAGCTATCATTTATAGGTCGCTGGCGGCTAACAACCTCAACTGAAGAACTATTATCTTTTGATAAGATGAGGCTTTTTCTGGGGGAGGAGTGGTCTACCCAAAAAGCCCAGTTCAATACTCTCCATGGGAATGATTTCATTCTCAGTAGAGCTTTACTGCCATTTACTGGAAGGAACTATACTAGTGGCTTCCAGTTAAGTGTGGTAAAGGCAGAGAAGGGAAGGACTCTTCTCTCAGCCAGCCATTCATTGATCTGTCCACTAAGCATCTATTTCCTGGGCTGAGGCACTGTGTACGGGTATTTGTACGATTCCCTGGGTCAAAGACTAATACTCAACTTGCACCTACTGGCAAGGCAGTTTTAGTTCTTATTGCCTTTAGTGTCTTAGCCTAATGTGTCAAAGCAGCCATTCTGATTGGCCCATGCCAGTGTCATACTGATGGTGAAAATTTTCAAACAACATCTTTCCTGAAACAGTGCTCTTTTGTGAAGCTACTTGTTCTTTTAGAAAATGCCATTTAAAAAAATACTACCTCCCTTTCCTCATCAGAGTGTCTTCTAAACTAGATAAAAGCTGTAGACCTCCAGTTAAGATTGAAGCAAGATGATGTGGTATTGCTAGAAAGCATTAGTTAGGGTGTAGAAACAATATGACTTGACAGGACTGGAGGGTTTTTTCTGTGCTTGCTGGCCTAGCCTGTGGATAGCTGGCCACTCTTGACTGTGATGACACCAGTCAGCCCCAATGAGGATGGGTCTATTGAAATAGCTGGATGTAAACAGGGCATCTATGCTCTATCACAAGAACAGTGCAAGTTTCCCCACTCCCACCAAAGAAATCTTCAGAGCAGTGTCTGGAGTTGCAGGAGCTGACCCTCTTTTCCTACCGCTGAGCTGTGGGATCCTCCTTCCCTCTGTCTGGGTCTTGGGAAGGAAGCCTTCCATCTTACTTTTGCTTCCCTCCTACTTAGTGAGTCTGCCTCCTGTCTAAAGGTCACCTGGCTGGAAGAAAAAGAACCTGTTCTTAGTTCTGGTTTTGGAACTAGGATACTTCATGTTAGCCAGTATACTGCAGCACCTAAACTACCATGTATTGAGTACCTGCTGGGCACTGGAGATATATAAACACATCTCCAGAAAGTTTGTACTAGTTTGTTTACCTGTGAGACTGAAGGATCAATTTGGGGCCCAGCAGGTGTGAAGGAGAGCCTGGCACTGGATGGGTAAGAGTCCTGCCAGTGAGGGTGAGGGCGGTGGCCCTCTGTGTGGGTGGAGATGAGAGTGGCCTCCCTGGAAGGAGGGTACAAAGTGTCCAGGGATCAACAAGCATGAAGATTCGGCCAAAGCTGTGTCTCTCGGTGCTTTTATGACTGAACATACTGATTGCCAGGAGTTTTGCCAGAACATTTAAAGGAATGAAGATATCAAAATCATGGGGCAGGGATGTAGCTCATTTGTACAGCACTTGCCTAGCATGTGTGACACCCTGGGTTGCTTGATGCCCAGCACAGAAAACAAAACAGCACTGCCTCTCAAACCATGAAACATGTCAGCAATAATGCCAACACAAACAACTGGTAGTATAACTGTGTGTAAAATGTGTATTACTTTGACCAAGCAGCATTGCTGCTATTGCACCATTTCTTGCTCCCCTCAGCACTAAGTTGTTTTTTTTTTGTGGTACCAGCGGTTGAACTCAGGACCTTGTGCTTGTGAGGCAGGTGCGGTGCCACTGAGCTAAGTTGCTGTTTTAATAGGACTGTATGCTGATCTCACTGTGGAGATATAGATCTAATCTCGTATTCTAGAAAGCATGCTGTCTTTGGTGTGGCATGAGGTCACACTATCTTGCCCTTCTTAACACATCTCACAGTGGTGATGTAGTATCGTGGTTAAGAGACATTAAGAAACCAAAATACCTGGGTTCAAATTCCAGCTCCATCATTTGCTGATTGTGCGGCCTTAAGCAAGTTACTTAACCTCTTTGTCCTTCAATCTATTTAACTGTAAAATGGGGTTAAGAATAATGTTACTCACCTAGCTTTATAGGGTTATTTTGATGATCTAATTAGTTAAACACAGAGCATTTACAATAGTCCCTTGCACAGGATAATTACCTTTAATAATTGTTAGCTTTCTTTTTTTGGTACTGGGGATTGAACTTGGGTCCTTGCGCTGGGGAAGCCGGTGCTGGAACCACTGAGCTAAACCCCCTGCCGCTAACTTTCTGTTTTGTGGTGCCAGGGATTAAACCCAGGGTCTCGCACATGCTAGTCCAATGCTTTGCCACTGAGCAATGCCCTGTTCCCAAATAAGTGTTCATATTTGTTATTTATTATATTAGCTTCAGTAGGACCAACTGCTCAATTTGTCAGCACACTAATGAAGTTTATGGTCAGCTGGCAAGCTGAGTATTCCGTCCTTACCATGGGGCTAGAAGCTGGCTCCATACCAATTAGGCCCACAGACTTAACAAACAGCTATGAGTGAAAAGTGAAACACTTTTATTCATGTTTTCAGTAGAGGTTGAATAGAGTTTCATGATGTTTATCCATACAAAATATCATAAAAATGGTTGCAGGCTTAAATAATAGTAACTGTAGTTATTGTTTTTATAATCCACAGTTCTTTTTCTTAGGTACAAATAGGAAATACCTGATGTCAAAATACAGAAATTTTCAAATTCTGTTTCATCAGTTTTCAAACTTGCATCACAGAGTAGAAGACACATAAAAAGCTGATTTTTAAATGGAACCAGCCACCTTGAAAAATATTCTGAAAAAAACATTTAAGGCTTTAGAAAATAAAACTTTTAATACTTCAAAGGACAAGAATATAAAAATGTTGCTCATTGGCTTGACTTTCCAGGATTTAGATGTTCTGGGAATGGATGAGCCTTGGTAAAGTAGTGTAACATGGCCCTGAGCTGTAGTCTCAAACACAAAATCACATTTGAATTTTATCCATAAAAAGAGGCAGAATCCGTTATTGCTAGATGACTCTTGAAGTCACTGTTTTCATTATACATTTGGCTTCACAATCTTCATTGACAAATAGTTCTGGAAAGGAAACAGTGCATATCTGTATATGTCAATATATCTACATATTTATTTAAATTAGGGTTTCTCAATAACAGCAGTACTGATGTTTAGGGCCAGATGATTCTTTTTTTTTTTTTTTTTTTTTTTTTTTTTTTTTTTTGGTACTGGGGATCAAACTCGGGTCATTGCGCTTGCAAGGCAGGCGCCAGAACCACTGAACCACTGAGCTAAATCCCTGGCCCTCCCCAGATGATTCTTTATAGTGGGGCTGTTCTGTGCACAGCAGATGCTTAGCTGCATCCCTGGCCTCCACCCACCAAATGGCAGAAAATCCCTCCAATTCTTTTTTCTCTTTTTCTTTTTGAGATCGAGCCTTGCTATGTTTTCCAGGCTGGCCTTGAATTCATTATGTAGCCCAGGCTGGCCTTGAACTGACAGCAATTCTCCTGCCTCAGCCTCCTGAGTACTAGGATTATAGGCATGTGCCCTCATGCCCCGAAATTCGTCCAGTTCCAATAACCAGAATGTCTTCAGAGTTTGACCAAACCTCTGGAGGGATAATGTCCATCCCCCCCACAGAGAACCACTGGTTTACATCAATAGAATCTAAGCCAGGAAAAAGAAATAATTATGTGGAGTTTTAAAGGGTCAAGGCAGACTGGGCTATATATAAGCGGAGAACTGGAAGTATTAGTTTGGGAAAAAATGGAGATGCAAAACTGAACGGGTCTGGAAGTGTAGCTCAGGGTGGAGCATGTGCCTAGTACACACCAGGGGTTAGGTACCATCCATAGCACCAAAACAAACAAGTAAAAACTGCTACTGTGGCTCTGACTATGCTACTAAACACAAGCTTACCTACATGACGATCGATAGGATGGGTGTATGAGCTTATGGGTGCCTTCTGTGGCACTTGGTGCCCTACCCCTTGCTTCTACCCACAGCTTCCACTGCATGGAAAATCTCCTTTCCACTCGCCAAACTGATCTTAAATGCCACCCCCCTCAAACGTGTCCTCAGTAATGGACTTCTACTGTCCTTTGTTCACACTTCTGTAACAACTTGGCTCCCACAGTATGTACTTGTTCAAAGGCCTGTTTGTTCCCAGACTCTGAACTGTTCAGGGTTAGAAACCATGCCTTTGGTCTCTCTGCATACTAATTCCTAGCCTATAGCAGGTATGGTAGATGCTCAATAAATTTACTGAGTGGAGGGATGAAGGCAGGGCTTTTAAGCATGCGGCCAAACCTTCAGTTAGACTCCTATTTGTGACTTGGGTGATTATGGGAAAATTTAAAAACAGGTTATATGTGACATGGGCCTTAAACAATAAGATTTTTGTAGAAAATAATGTGAGCAAAGCTGTCTGAACAAATAAAAGCAATATTAGGGGCAAAGGGGTCAACTATCTAGCATGAATAAATACGGGTTTGTGGAAATCCATCATGAGCCCAGGCCAGGAACCCTTGAATGCCAGGAAATGCTGTTCCCAGTCCAGACATACAGTATACTGATCGGCACCTGAGTGCCTCTTCAAGATCCCTGAAGCCAGTGTTGTTGTTGTTGTTGTTTTTTTCAGGCCATAAAGTATTATCTGTAATTTGTGAAACCCCAGGAAGGTAACTGTAATCATTGGCCACATTACAACACATTTTTCACATGTGTAAGGGTTGCAACACCACAGCTGCTCAGTGGGTCATTCTTCTGAGTAGCAGCACCGGCAGATACCAAGTTGGCCACTGGAGCACAGATGCACCCAGAGAGAGCCAAGATGAGAGACCCAGGCTGCCTACCGGTAAGGAGTAGAGGAGCACAGCCAGGAAGAGCAGCAGGATGAGCAGGATCAGCAGGCCTATGATGACCCACTTGAACCGGCGCCACACAATGAACCGCATAGTCTTGCACGGATTGGTGAACCAGAGGAAGGAGGTTTCTGGTCGGCTGCGGCACAAAGAAATGGTTTTATCTCCCCAACTTCGGGGTGGAGAACAGGACTACTGTAATTTATCTCAAGCAGTATCCAGTGACATCTATCAGCTCAGGGAAAGCTACTATCTCCTACAGTGGCTGAGAAAGCCTCAGCTACACATCACAGCATCCTAGGGTGCTGAGAACCCTGAACTTTGGTTTCACGGGGAAGGAGAATGGTTAAAGTGAAGCCAGATCACCCACCTCTCCACCCCCACAAGCCATTATCAAGTATAAAATTAGGAGGACAACAGCTAATCCATTCCATGAAGCCAACTGGGACAGGTTTTTAGACTGCAGGTGTTTGGGGATCAGACAACGTAGAGAACAAAGAGGGCCTCTCACTTTGGTGGGTCCAGCTTGGGGTTCACGTTGGGTTCATCCCGCCCCTTTCCAGCTGGCCTCTCGTCGGCTTCCTTCTCATTGAGGACCTCCAGTGTCATCTCCACTTTCCCCTTCAGTAAAGCAGAACAGGTTAAACACATGACATCACGTTTCACAAATATTTTTACTTCAACCCGTGGAGTATTCCCTGAGCAATGATTTTTAGTCTTGTAAAACAATCCTTAGATTGCCTTGAATTTTCCTCAAGAGATTTATTCACATTTCCTCTTCATGTGTTTCTGAACCAACTCCAGGTGGGAAACTGAGAGGACAAATTGCTTCCCCCACTTCCTGTTTCTCATTCTCCATGCCCCTGTCATTATAGTGTTCTCACATCAGTCAGCTTGCCTGCACGCATACCTTCCTTTGTAACGATGTGGATCAGACCATCCTGAATACTGCTCAGAATAATATCTAACATTTATGGAGCACTAACTGCAGGCTCCAAGAGAGCAGGGCCATGCCTCTTTCTGCTTCTATCATACCCCTACTATGCACAGGAGGGCCCCCACTTAGTATGTATTCTTCATGTATTAGCTAAATAGTGAATAAATGAATGTGTGGATAAGCGCTGCTGCCTGTTGACAGGTTCCTGAAGGATGTGCCAGGGCTGCTTAAACTTTCTATATAGGTAATCACTTGTTACGTTAATAGCAGTCCCAGAAAGGTCCTATTCTGTCCTCATGTGTAAGCAAGGGCAGTGGAATAGAAAGAGATCTAGAAATGCACCCTCTTTGATAATCTGTCTTAACTAAGGTTGTAACAGGACCTAGGAAAGCCCACTAAATCCCCAAGGACTTGAGAAGTCCGGATGCTGACATTCACTTAGGCAGAGGAGTGCGGGTGGCACTGGGTTTTCCATTTCTGCAAGTCTGCTTTTTTGAGTCAGTAAAATGGAGGGGGTATCTACTTCATGGAATTGTTAACAGAATTGAATAAGATTATGTGCAAACTAATCTATAGAGACAGAAAGCAGATCAGTGATTTCCTGGGGCTGGGGTGAAGGTAGCAGTGAACCGCAGAGTACATAGGAAATTTCTGGGGTGATAGGAAGGTGTTGGCTCTTGGTAATGGGGATGGTTCCATGGGTGCAAACCTCTGTCAAAATTCATCGAATTGGGCACTTTGAAGGAGTGCAATTTATGAAAATAACACATTAATATTGTGTTAAAATTAGATTATGAATGTTACCTGGTTCATAATAAATAGTAAATGTTGGCTAATGCATAATGATACATTATGAATCAGGTGGTCTTCTGTGACATGGTACGGTAAGCTGCACTTCTGTTTCTATGTCAAAAAACACTTGCAACCCCAAACATGCTTGTAGGTTATGGTCTTCTTAGCACTTCCTGCTTCCTCCAATTATTTCCTTTCAGATAGAAAAGCTCAAATTTAAAGTTCTCTTTTCTGTACTGAATTGTCCTGGAAGCTCAGCATCAATTAATCTTGGTAAAGGAGAACCAGTGTGTTCTAAAAAAACATTGCACAGTCACTTGGGCTCCCCTGTTTTTGACTATTCCAACCTCTTCACCTTCTCTCAATTCGAAATATATACTCAGAGTATCTCCCAGCTTTTCGTATAGTCCCAGGTACAAGCTATTTCCAACCTATTTAACACTTCCCTGTCTTATCTGAGGTAATCTATTGCTAAAGAGGAGGACCTAAATGGTAAAAGGAATGCATAATCCCCAACCAAGAAATACTCATACAGCCATCACGCGACAGCCGTCTTTATCTGCGAAGCACGGCCACCACCCTTTCATGGACTTCTGCTCAAAGAGTGAGGCGGTTTTAGCCTTAAGGGGGTCCATGGCTTTGAAGTCTGGAATCATGTCCAAATTGCATTTCTCTGATGATTTTGCTGGGATGATTGTGTGATGCAAATCAAGTTCCAGGAAACCTAGGCAAGAAAACAGCAGTAAGTCCAAACAAGCTTCAAGTGAATCAGCCTTTGTTCATGAGTGCACAGAATGTTCTTTTCAGAGGAGAAGCAGGCAGTGATTTTGAACAGGTGATGGGTGAGGTAGAGAAAAGGACAACGATGGATATTTAAATTCTTTCCAGATAGGATGAGAAACGGCAGAAGAAATAGCTTTCCACTGCTCAGCATCTCATAGAGCACTGCATATTTTCCTTTTCAAAGACATGAGCATAAACAGAGTTCTTCTATAACCTCAAAGCAATTAAACATCTATAGCCAAAGTTTCCACTGAACTCAAGACCCTTGCATTTGAAATTTGTTCATTTTGACTTTGAGCTGCTCTGCACAGAGACGTCATTTGGCTTTGGGTGTATATAAGGGGTGCTTGGGACATGGAAAGCTCCATGGAATATTCACATCCGGTCTTCTCCAAGAGTAACCTCAGAAGTAGGAGTTTGAAGAAACGTAACCGGAAGTCTTCACCAGAAACTCAGAATGCTGGCCAGGACTGGGGAGTTTGGAGAAGCATGTGTTCTCTTCTGTGATGGGAGGCATTAACTCTTTGGTATCTCTGAGAACTCAAGTGAGTCCTTTCCTCAAGAAAATTGTGTCTGTGATGCATGGTCAAGTCAATGCACTAGTAGCACAAGAGTCTGGTGAAGAGGAGCAGCAGGAGGAATGTTGCAGCAGATCGTCTATAGATAATTGGGCTTATAGACTGCCCTTCATTATAAACCACAGCTGACCCTAGCCCTTTCTGAGCTTACATCTGCTTTTCTCTTATTTCTCCTTTCAACGATTGGTTCACTAGCCATTTTGCGATAGTCATTTTTTTATTTGTTGTAAATTATTTAATTTAAATTCTAAGGGAAACCTCTCTACTATTGCGGAATTTTCTGCCCATAGGCTTTGTAACTTATCATACCTGCATAGTCATTTGTTTGTTCCACTCTTATTAAGTAGCAGCTAGGTCAGAAGAATGGTGAGGATGAAGGGAAGAGTAAGACAGTCACTGGCAGGCTTTTCCTTGGCCAGGAAGATCCCCCGGCAGCAGATGGAAGCAGGCAGACTAATCAAGGACTACTGCAACAGTGAGCTATGAGAAAATGGGTCCAAACTGGCACACAGGAAGAGAAGGCATGAGGTTGGGGGAAAATATGGAGTCATGATAAATTTGAAGTGGTAGCAGAATATAAAGTGAAAGGTTAAACTGGGAATATTCACTGTAATGGTGTCATATAACAGTATGCCAGGCACTGTGAGAGACCAGGCTCCATATTCTGCTTTAGATGCCACACTTTGAGATCTCTGGTTGGAGGTGGAGGCACTGGAAAAGAGCCGGGAAACTTCAGGGAAGGACTGACTTTGAAGAGTAGGAGGAAAAGGGAGCCAAGATCAGGAGGGGCCCAGGTGGGAGGCAGGCAACTAGTGCCTTTGTGCAGAAGACGATGCCTTTAGGGAAAAGAGCAGTGCCAGGGGAGAGAGTGTCTTAGGAGCCTTGCCGACTTCTAAGAACAGGGAAGAGGACAGAGAGCTGTGGGTGTTTTGGAAGTTGAGGCAGCAGGCTGGGGAATCCCCTGTGCAATCTCTTCTATGACAGCTTTAGGAGCAGGGCCATGGAATGGGGTAATAATTACTGCCAGTCCACACTGCCCAGAGGACGTGCCCTTTAGTGCCCCTGCCCCATCACTGACAAGTTTAGAGATTTAAGTACTTACTTCCCAGTTTTAATGATTTCACCAATTCCAAACACTGTTTATTAGAGAAAATTATCTGTATGTAAGCCATACCCAAGTAGTCGTCCAAAGAAAACTTGTCATTGTCCCATATCTGAATAATCAGCCGGGGTGGGACTCTAAATTCCGTTTGGTCAATACTCCAGAAATGCTCCTAAAATGATAAGACACAGGGAAAAACTAAATTATCCTGAGGAGTGAACTCTGAAACCCTCACCTCTGACCCCTGAAAATAGCTCGGTAGCATGGGGCCTTTTATCTCCTCTGTACTCCCTGGACACTCCTTCCCTTTGAGCCCATCCTTTCACTTTGTGTATGGAAAGCCACCAATCTCTCCAGGAAGTCTCAAGGCTACCAGCTGGGTGACAAAAAGGATGTCCCAGGCTGCTCCTCAACAGCAGGCTTCCTATCAGCATGTTCCTATCAGTGTGACTTCCTACTGCCTATCCTGGGGGTTGAGGAGAGACTAATTTCCTCCTGAAGTCCACTACCGCCTCCTCAAATCCCCCTAAAGCCAGGCATGCCAGACCCACGGTATCACCTGCTGTGGTGTCACCTCTGTTCAGCTACCTTTGGTCCAGCCCTCCCTGATGAGTGCATGTTCTTTTTACATGTGGTGGAGGCTGGGATCTAGATTCCACTCTCAAAATGTCCTAGCATTTTTGGTTTCTGAAAAATACCACTAGCTTTTACACACCTGTGGTTACCTAAGAACTTCAGATCCCTCACAGTACAAGTAGGCAGAGGGAGGACCAGGAAAGAATCCTTCATGTTCTTACTTCTGGTTCCGGACTCTGCCTAGATGATATAAGCTAAGAACAATGCCTTCACAGCCCAGCTACACCTAATTTTCTCTGGCCCTCACAGATGGGGAATTGCCTCAGTGCTGTGTAAATCTGAAGGAAAATCACTGGGTTGTCTTTTTGTTTGTTTTGCATTGTCTAGGCACATTGTCTTTTTCAGGGCTCAGAGGGCCTGGCTCTGAGGGGCTGGGAACCCTGTCCTGCTACTCTCATCCGTTGCTGCCTCACTATTCTATGTGGGGTCAGGCTCTAAGTACCACTCAAGGAATGGAGCGGCCCAGGCTTTGATGTAAGTATACAGGAAGAGGAACTTTACCTGCGGACCAGCCCGACCTCAAATCCCTCCTCTCATCCTGCGTCATCACTTGAAAGTATGCATGATGTGATACCATGGCAAGCCTCTGTGCCTCCAATGTCCCCTTTGAGGCCCTCCATCCCACCTGGCATGGAAAAAGTCCTCATACAGATCAGCACTAAGTAGGGCCTGCAGAGGGAAGCGCCTGCCTTGATGAGACACAGGGAAAGTATATTTCAACTGGCTGTGAGCAGAGAAGGTATCCAGGCAGAGGCTGGGAAAGCTAATGAAATGTGGGAATAGGAACGGGACAGGGATCCTACAGAAGACATCTGTTATTGTTCACCCAGGTACTGGGCCCTCTTCTGGGGTAAAACACCCAGATTATTCTTGGGGGGCAACTCCTTACCCAGATGGTGCAATCTGGCGAGATATGTTTGTTAACTCCAGAGCCTGCCCAATCAGAGCTCTGCATCTCTGCACAACAAAGGAGCTTTGGGAAGGGCACGTGGCCCCAAACAGGCAGAGATACTGAGGCAAAGGCTAGCTGGCACCAGCAGGGCTCCCTTCTTCTCTTCCTGCTAAAGTTTGCAAAGAGGCAGAATGTGGCCTGGGGCTGCTGGCTGCCATCCCAGATCCACCAGGGAAGAGCCCACTGGGAAATGAGCCCAAAGAGGGAGGTAGAGTACGGGCAGCATGAGGCCAATTTCCAAAGCCACCACTTCTACGAGGGATCCAGATGTTCCTAAGGCCAGCCAACCCTGGACTTTTTAGGAATGTGAACCAATAAGTTACTTTTTTGATCTAAGCCAGTTGAGTTGAATTCTGTATCTGAAAGTTTAACTAATTAAGACCATGGGGGCTGTGAAGGCTCTTGGAAGTGCTTCTGAGCAAGATAACAAGGATGCTGAGGCTTAATAAGGACAGGAAAGGGGACACCATGCTTTGCTATTTGGTTCTGCCTATCATGGGAAAAATCAGTCTCTGCTTCCACACAAAACACAAATGCGTTGTACATGTTGATATAAGACCCTTAGTTTTGCCCTTTATTTTTTACCCTGCTGCCAGTCTGTTAGGGGAAAGAGCATTCCTTTTACTTCCTAATTATACAAATCACTGTCATTGTTTTGTGATCATAAGCAAGTTCTACACCTTTGTGGGTTTCAGATTCCCCATTTGTACCGAGAGGGAACTGGACTTAATGACCTCAAGGTCCTGTGCAGCTCTGACCTCCTCTGAGTTTCTGAGCTAAGGAAGACCCATGACATCCACTTCCTGCGGTCATAGTTTGGAGCTCACTTTTTTAGAGACGACACAAAGTTGTTCGGCAGGGAGGTAGTCAAACGGGAAGACAAATCTCCAGTTAAAATTTCCTTCACCATCCAAGGACCGGTAGTGGACATCTGTTTTCTGTTTGTTTTCTTCATTACCAGGAATCCAGCTGAAAAGCAGAGGCAAATAGACTTGACTTGATGTGACTGACAAGCAATCTAGCTGCAAAATTGTGCAGTGATTAGGGGGGTGAAGAGCAGAGAGAATTAATGCACTGTTCTTGGGCAACTTCCAGTTATCTACAGAGTTGAGGTGATTTATGAAGGGGAGGCACTCTATTGCATCCAACACAGGCTAGAGCCAAGTAAAATATAATTCCTCTAAAACCAAAGCAGGAAACCCTTTAGACTTCAGTTAGCAAGGCTAAGGCGAAATTTTCTGGAAAATATCAACAATGTAGCTTCTATTTTGGGCACTTCTAAGCCTGCTGGTTATGATTTTAGTCTTCACAACTATGACTCATTAGCGTCTGTCATCACCGCTGATAGGCTCAACGAATACAAGTTAGCTCACAATTTTATCATTTCCTTTCCCATATTTTATTTCGCAAACAAAAAAGGGCACAAATCAAATAATCTTGCAGCTTCCTTTTCTGTTGCTGTTAAATTCACTCTGATCTTATTAATGAGACTGGCAAGGAAGATGTAAACTGGCTGTCTATGAGCATTCACTTCAGTAACAGCATCTTAACTTTTAGCAGTTGAAACATTTTTCCTTCGCCTGTGCCCGATATATGGTAGGCACTTTACAAACACCTAATGAATGAATGAATGTGCCTAGAAGGAAGGTCACATCTGCTACTGGGAAGACTCTCGGTTCGGAACCAGGGAATGACATCTGGTTTTAGACTGGCGAAGACCTTGAGCTTGTGAGGAAGGGGGTTGCACCACTGAGCTAAATCCCCAGCCCAAGAAGGGAAAATCTTTAGCTCAGATTCGTGATCATCACCTATGAACCAGGTACTTATCAAGCATGATTTTATTCTTACCAACAACCGCCCATCTGTCTTCATTTCCCAGGTGCAGCTTCAGAGAGGCTGTATTAACTTACACAGGTTGCACAGCCATTAATTGGTGGAATTAAGTATCACTGCCAGATAAGTCTAACTCCAAAATCTATGCCTATTACACTGCCTAATAGGATCGTGGAAACTGTGTTATCATTTGCTGACATTCAGTCCTGCTATTAGAAGTGGCATTAGCATTAATCAACTACAATATTCCTTTTTGCTGGTCAATTAAATGCCTAGATAAATTAGTTCAAAGATTTTTTTTTTTGACTGTTAACGTTTAAACTAACTCAATGAAGAAAGTTTATATTCTCTTGGCTATGACCTTGGTGGCTTTACCTCCTGACCTGTCCCTAAAGCACCACAATTATCCCACCCCAGCTGCTCACCCCCTGCAGCTCTTCCTCTCTCTCTTTTTTTTAATTTTTAATTTTTTTCCTCATTGAGTTTATTGGTACATTTTAGGTACACAGTACAGTTGCATTCGTTATTGGGATCTTGTACCTTTACATGACAGGTCTTGGTTCTTCCTCTCTTTTCTGGTGAATATTTTCATGTTTAATTTTTAGACACGCAAATATTTCATTTGTATTACTTGTGCGCATGCATGTATAGCTTTGTAAGAAACTCCCAATTTTATGTAGTGCTAAACATGGTACTTATGCATTATTCACCTTTTCAAAAATAGTATTACTTTCTCTCTGTGTCTGCCTGTCTCTTTTTTGAGTGCTGAGGACCGGACCCAGCATCTCAAGGATGCTAGACAAGTGCTCCATCACTGAGCTACCACTCCAGCCCAGTATTTGGATTTTAATTTCAAACTTTATATGGTACTTTGAGTTGAGCTTTATTTTTAAATCAGAAAGTCTTTTCTCAGTCCAGTATTACTTGCATTTGCTTAATTTGAAAAAAAATGCTTATAGTAGTCAAATAAATTTGCATATATGTGATTAGCTGGGATTAGTTTTCCTTGGGGAATGGTAATGAGCTCTTGAAGTGAGAGAGAATAATGAAGAACTTGATGAAACATTCCCTGTTGATAGTGAACCTAAATAATAATAATTATGTCTTACACCAATTTTGATTGAAGGGCACTTGGGATCACAGGTGAAACTTGGTTCTCACTTTAGAATATATTACATTTCAACAAGCCTTATCTTCTATAAATTAAAGAACCAAACTCAGTCCAGGTAGAACATCAATAATTCTAGCGAACACCCACATACTGCGTACCATCTGCCTACATTCTCTTAAAATGCCCTGAGTAGCTGAATCTTCTGGATATCCCTGGGAAGTAGCTATTTTCCTTACCTTCATTCTACAGACAAGGGACAGTGAGCTTATGACCTTGCCCAGCTAGCAGGGGAAGGTGCCAGGATTTCAATCTAGGGAATTGACTCCAATGTCTGGTTTCTTAATTACTAAATATAATACTGCAGTCATTGTGTATGATCAAGGCATAGTAAGAAACTAACATCAACATCAACTTGGATTATTTGAAACTGACTTATGGAAGTAAAAGAATAATGAACAATTATGACATTTTACATTTTGGATGTAGGCACTCAGTTAATGTTGGTGGAATAAATTTTTTTTTTCCTTAGAAACCTGCTAATATTTCCTTCTTTCATAGACATTGGCTGCTGGTAATAAAATATATAGAAAAATAAATTTTGGAAACTTGTGTTTCTAAACTTGGTTATCCAAAGAATGAAAGAGGAATAAAATAAATGATATGAGTAAAACTTCCAGAAGTAAAAAATCTACTTAATAAACTGAAGAAAATCTACATTGTTAAAAGAGAAATGAAGAAGTATTAATCAGTTCTTCTAATCACTAAGTACTCCTGCTCATCAAAGAAGCCCATGTGAGTTCCTCTTTTCTTTCTGTTCCCACCTATGTTTTCTTGCAGCTACCCAAGTAGACTGCATTAACAGGACAAGATTAGTTTCAAATCACCAGGAACGCAGTAGTAGTCATCTAAAATAATGACAATTAATGAAGGATGGAGTCTGCTTCATTCCTGAGCTTGTGTCAGGCCCCAACATCTGTCCTCACCCTTTGACATAGATGTCACTCATTTCTTCTCCAGTGATGCTTTTCTCATCCAAGATAACATCCTTGGTGTTCCAGATGATCACACGTAGGTAGTATCTGAAAGGAGCACATTTTGAAAGTCTTTTTCTCTGTCCCTGAACCAAGTTCCCAAACAAGGGTAGCAGTGTCTCAAGATTACCTACCTCTTGGATTTTCGGGGTGTGATGTTGAAAGGAGGGCCTGGTGGTCCCAAACTCTTAGGGAAAACATCCACCCACATCTGAAGTTTTCCCTAAACCATCAAAAAATGAAAAGAGGGCTAAAGTTGTATTATGGTTGGTAGAAACCATAATCTTTTACATTTCTTAACAAACTATTTCTTCAGGCTTGCTAACTTATTGGTCTATATGGAAGACAGTAAGTGGAACAGAAGAGTAAGGCAAGATTAATGTTTTATCTGCAATGTCATTTAGGCCACCCACTTTCCTTCTTCACTTAGGGGGCTCTGACGACTGTGTACACTTGTTTGCATCATAGTTTGAGTTTTCCCTGGTTAATAAATGAGGGACTTCCCATTACCTACCCCTCCACTCTGTATGCTATGACTTAAAATTGGGTCTTTTATCCTCCAACAGTTCTCATGCTGTTACTCTACTAACCATCACATTGCCTACTGGATATTGGTCCCAGTTTTGTAACACAAAGGGATTCTCCACTCACCTCAAGATATAGAACCAGAGTAATATAAATGGTATTTAACTGTAACTGAGTAACATGAACATTAGTGTTCGCAATAGCTAAGGATTCCCTGCCATTGGCTCACCAATGTCCACCACCAGTAGGAGGCTCACAGAAGAGAAGAGTGAAGGCATGAGCTAATACTTACACTGCTGTTCTGGTGAGGCTCTACTTCGCTCTTTGTCTGCCACAGACTGGGCCTATTGATCTGACTGGAATGTTCTTCCAGACAGTCTCGAAACACCATTAAACAAACTCTATCAAGCATAAAAACCAATTTATAGTCTCCAAGCTATTTTTGGATGTTCTATTGACTCTGTCTTCAGACAAAAAGAGACTGGTTTTCAAGAAAGCTGCCAGGAAAACCACTAGATTGGCTTCCTAGTGCATTGTGATCAAAATAAATTACCTGGCGCTCTTAGAAAAGGATATATTTTACTATGATCCTGACTTTCTTCCAACTAATCTCTAATGCTCAGGGCCCTATAACACATCAAGCAAACTGCAGAACATTAGGCATCCAGGTGTCTCCTAAGTCCTAGACACAGGATGTGTCTATCAAATGCTGTAGGTTGGTAGATTCCAAGGGAGAAATCTTCCACACCTAGTCATTTCTTGAGACTCCTGTACAATTGAGATTTCTGAGGGAAGAGAGGAAGCCTTGTCAGGCTGTAAGGCTCTTTGTTGAGCAAAGAAAAATAACCCTCCTCCTCTTCCTCTTCCTTTACCTCCCTTTTTTTCCCTTTCCCCCCTCCTGCTCCTTCTACTTCTTCTTTACAGCTACTCTACCACCGAGCACTCTACCAGATTACTATTCTTAAGATGTGATTCTCTCACCACCTTCCAGGTACTTGTTAAAGTTCAGATTCCTAGCCACAGCCTAACCCTATATGACCCCTATCTCTGCAGCTGCAGTCTGGAAATGTTCATTGTAACTAGCTTCCACATAGATTATTTTTTCATTGTCCATGCTTGGCTTTGCTTCTTTGGAAAGGGCTCCCCAGTTTTCAGGAGCTGACATGTCCTGCTACTGTGCATGGTTCTTGTGACCTTGCATCCTGTGCCCTGCAGACTTGCTTCCCTAACCTTTTAGTCTCGTATGGCAATTGCTCCCCAAGCAGGTCCAAGACCTCTGCCCTCATCCCAGATCCTGCCTACAGCTGAGTGGTTCACTGATAAACAGCTGGGCCAAGTTGGGGCAAACAGTCCCTATATATTTTAAAGTAGATGAGGCTACATTATGACACAAAAACACACAGGAACTGTCCATAGCATCTAGACTCATAGGAAGGAGGTCATGGCAAAGAGTAGATTAAATAGACTTGTAGGGAAAAACAGACAAGAGACAAGGGAGATTCTGATTCAAGTTTGTTCTGAGTTATAGAAAAATCTGTGTTGCATTTAGTGAGCTTTCTGACAATTCTTACAATAAATTCCCTTTGAGATGAAGTTAACTTGAGTTTCACTTCTAAATCTGTATTTAAAAGTATACAAGGGGCAAATCTGTAAGTTACTATCACTACATCTGAGGTGTAGATGTAAAGTCTTTTCACCTGAGAAATGTTGGGCTGGAAGGTACTATGCAAAGTCCTCGTTTCCACGTGCTCAGGGACCAGGCCTTGAGTCCGGAGTATGTGAAGGGCAAGGCGCTCTTCAGGGGCCCCAAGGTGCTGGTGCAGGATTTTGTTGGCTTCTGGAATGGAAAATGGCACCGAAACTGGGATAGGCATTTGAGATCAGTGTAGCCTGACTGCCTTGAGCAGCTTGTGGCACTTCACTCTAAATTTTGCCAGAATAGGTAGGCACTGTTAATATGTAAGTTTAGACTTGAAGGAACAGTGGACAGAAATAGCTCTGGACCAGGGGCCTTGCCCAACCCATGTTCACAGCCAAGTTGTGGACTGCCAGTAGCAAATGGACTAGAGCACACCAGAATGAGACTATATATATTTTTGTGGTATAGGCTCACAGCCACCTCCCTTGCCATTCAAAGTGGCCATATGACCAAATTCTGCTGGAATGGAAGTGACTTGCAGATCACATCTGGACTGAGCTCATAAATCTGTGCCACATAGGGTCCTCCATATGTCCTTCTCTTCTGGATGTGGAGAAGGACAGCAACCTTGAATGCCTCTGTTGAAGAACAGCAAAGGTACATCACGGAAGGGCCCTGAGTCCATGAGGCACATTTGGAATAAGCCCACCCACCTGTAGAAATGCCCATGCTGAATTAAAGAAAAATAAACGTCTAGTGTATGTATAGAGCCACTGAAATTTGGAAGTTCAAATATTACAGCAGTTAGCATCAGTATGGCATTGAAAAACCACAGCCCCCTAATTTTTAAACATTTCTCGTATTGAGAAGTTGGTTCTATGTTCTTTCCCCCTGAACCTGGACACAAACTAAAGCACTGGAATACAGGGCCAGGGATTTAGCTCAGTGGTTCTACTGCCTGCCTCGCAAGTGCAAAGTCCTGAGTTCAATCCCCAGTACCCCCCCCCCAGTCTAGAGTATAAAGGATGACTTCTGCATCTAGGGATGAAAGGCCCCAAATCTCCGGCTTGGTTTTCTTAGAACACTTGGGACACTCACTCTAAGGGAAGCCATTCATCTGTAAGGACCCTGAGTACACCCTACTCTCTCAGATGCAAAAGCGTATCATACCCTCTGATCTTCTCTGAAGCTTATTTCAGTCTTGGTCACAGTGAGCTGTTTATGTGTCAGGATAGATTGTTGCTTTACAAATTACTGCTTGGGAAAGAGCAAAACCCCAAGCTTGGACATGAGCTGAATGGGAACTTGGCAGCCTCTTCAAATCACCCCACTGCATCCCCGAGGCTTCTCAAGAAGGGTCGGAAGAATGATGGAGTAACTTGGAAGAGAAATTCTTACACCACTATCTGAACATTTTTTGAACGAACTAAGTATAACATGGAAATTAGTTACTAGAACTTTGTGTTCAAAGCTTAAATGGCTACGACCTGGAAAGGTCAAGTAAAACATAAGACAAACAAGAAAATGTGTCTACTTTGACACTTGACCAGACAACAGAACTGCACTGTAATGTGACTTTTGTTAGAGTTGTGTGTGCAGTGTCTCGTATGGTATAATTAGGGTACCAGCTCTGTCCTTCCCTCTCCTCAGACCTAGCAGTAGGAATGGGTAATTGTACTTTGCTTACAGTCCCCGGCTATGGGCTCACCAAATTCATCCAAACTGTAGTCTCGTCCTCCGTATCTGATTCTACCTCCATCTTCAGAGAGGATGGGTGATGGGAAGCCTTTGAATCTGGCCACGTTTTGAAGCAGCTGTGTCGGTCTCAGTTGATCTCTCCAGGTATTTATTCCAGAACTGTGAATAACATCACACATTGCAGAGTCTCAGCAGGGCCCACAGTTCTCTTGGATTTCCACACACTCACACACGCATGCACACTCACATACTTTTAGGTACTCCAATATAATGTCTAGAAATCTCTTTTAGAGGCTAAAATCCACATGTTAATTTGGCCTCTGCCCATCCATCATTTTTATGTATTTATTGTTATTGTTTGCCTGGAGCTTTCCTACTCTGCAAAACTGAGGAGCTTCAGATCATGGCAGCCATAATGGGCAAATTCATCAACTAGAATTGGCAAACTCTAACTCATTAGATTCTATTGAAAAACACTGGAAAGCAGACAGTGGAAGGCAGGTATCACAAAATCGATCAATTCAGGGAACTTCTGCTGTCTATCATCACTAGCCCTCATCCCTGATAACCAGAGGCAAGTTCGCAAAGGAGGTGAAGGGATCGGTTTTCTGAGTGCTGTCTGTCACCTATGCCACCCAGCACTTCTGTAACCACCACTATTCTGTATAGACTACTATACAAATCGGGCAGTGTGGTGACCCTAATTCTCCCTAAGAGAATCCTGTTATTGGAAATAGTATTTAAGTGATGGAAAGGAAGAGTGGCACAGTGAAGAGAGACACCTGGTAGAGAGCTGAAGTCTCCCCAGATGGTACAGTCGCTAGCACACAGGGCTTCCATTCCTAGCTGAAGCGACTTACATACAGTACTGCTCAGGTATCCCACAGTGGGCCCCAAACCGGGAAAGGAAGCGGTTTTCCAGATCAATGATTGTTTCTCCTACTTTTTCATCACGGGTAAAGGTGTCATAATCATAGACAGAGATTTTCAGGTCCTTTTCCTGAGGTAAGTAGCAGCTCAGTTCATACATTCTAAATAAAGAAATGTAGGGTTAGAATCTCCACAACCCATTATAGGCATCTTACAAAAACCCAGGGGTCCATCAAAGAATATCCAGGAAGCATCTATGGCTATTGGAGGAGAACGACAGATTAGGACGAGGGTGGGTGAGGGGACTTGATAAATAGTAAATGCTATTGATAAAACAATGACCCTTGACTTACAAACTCAATTCATTCACAAGGGCTGGATGTAACTCAGGTTGGTCAATTGAAGGCTCAGGCTCCTCTACAGGGCCTTCAAAGTCTCTCTCCTGCATACAGGCAGCTCTCAGTGTCCTTAGCAAGACACGGGCCCAGTATTTCTCAGTGAACCCCACACAGGCAAGGATGTTATAATGTTTCTTCCAGAACTCTTTAAGGGTTAAATGTGTATCTGAGAGCATCCGGAAGCACAAGCGGCTGGCATTCGGGTCCTAACTCAAGTCTTTGTTCATAAGTTAAAACTAACCCAGGTTGTGTGTCAGGCCAGTCATAATTTAAGAGTCCACAGTATATGCTTGCTCATGAACAAAGCATGGGCTTATAAACCTACATTCAGATCCTAGCTCTGCTCCTTACTAGAGGTGGGACTCTAGGCCACTTACTTAACCTCTCTGTGCTCAGTTTGCTCACCTGTAATGTGGTTTATGTGCCATCTGCATGGTTACAAGTGTTTAGACAGGGTTTGGCAAACGTACATTTAGGAAAACCTAGTAATAAGGCAAATAATAAGGCATTCTAATATCAATGTCATCATCATCATCGCACACCTATTAACCAGGGCACAGGGGCATCCTCTCCAGCAGGGAGATTACTGAAGCCCAAGAACTCTGACTTACAGCCCCTCCTCTATGCCCACTGTGGTGTGAAGCCTCAACTGAGATCCCTGCTGCATGGAACATCTTTGACCCAACCCAGAGAGCACAAGGGAGGGGCGTGAATGGAATTCACCCATAGAGTGTGGGGTGCAGGAACTTTGTGTGTGTGTGTGTTTAAGGCTTTTCTGTAGAACCTGCATTACAGGAAGAAGAACAAAAGTATTTCATGTGGCAGGTGAGCAGTGTGGCTCAGGGGTGCTGCAGCGTGCACATCAGCTCCATGTGCGCAGTGTTTTGCTTTGTATTTGCACTGTCCACAGAAGTCCTGGCCCCACAGGAGGTGCTTAATAAACTGTGTGAAAGGGCAACTGAAAGCCCCCCGTATCCCTCCTTTCCTCCTCCTTTCTTGCCGTACTCTGGCATGTGGACTGCTCCCTGCCCAAAGAGTTAGGCATGTCAATCCACTTAAGCAGAAGAGGGTGTCCAAGGGACTCAGGAAAACCTACAGGATGCTTCCTAGATAAATCTCAGGGGCTTTCTAGACTGCAGCAGCCATCCCGAGGAAGCAGAAGGCAGGGATGAAAAAGGCACCTTGAATCATGATCACAAATGAAGCACTGAAGCCAGATATGATGGCACATGCTTGTTATCACAGCACTGTGGAGGCTGAGGCAGGAGGATTGCCGTGAGTTTGAAGCTAGCCTGTCTTACAAAGTGAGTAAAGACCAGCCCGAATTGCACAGTGAGACCCTGTCTCAAAAAAACCAACACATACACTCACAAAGAAGCACTGAACCCACACATGCCTATAATATCAAATTTCTAATCCTGGATTCAAAGGACAGGCGCTATGTGTCCTTTGAGAAGATGATGTCTTTCATCAAATAAGGTCGAGAACTCCTTCTTTTGGTGTTCTTTTGAGCAAACCAAAGGCCTTGAGAATTCCTCAGTGATTGTCTTTTTTAATGCAGATGTCTTGGTTTGACTAATACTTTTTTTCCCCTTGCAGTATCAATTAATATCTTATGGAAGACACTGACACTGTTGAATGCAATGTTGAGAATGCTAACGTAATACGAAGGACTAGGGATTCAGCTCAGTGTCTCTGCACCTGCTTCACAAGTGCAAGGTCTTGAGGTCCTGAGTTTGATCCCCAGTATCCCCCCTCCAAAAAAAAATATGATAATATGCTGAACAATGACCAAACACACAGGAAAGGTTGCTCCTGCCTGGATTCCTGTCCCAGGATCTCCAAGAGTCTCTAAGGTCAAGACAGCCACCTCCTAAGACAGAGGCCATGAACCGCACCCTGCTGGAAGAGGGAAGTCTGCACACCCGCTGGACAGCCACTGGCTGAGCAGAGCCTCACGGCATTGCTTCCATCCAGAGCAGCTCCAAGCAAGACTTTTCCTGCCCTTAATTAGCTTGCACTTGGCTCCTCTGAGACGGGCTATTCAGACAGGGTTGCCTTTTCCCCTTCAAAGCTGGCTTTCCCTGCTTCCCTGTCTCCCTCACACAGAGCCCTCCTTCCTGCCCTGCATGCCTTTTCCTGTCTAGACCTTGGGGCTGGATCAGCAGAAGAAAAGGAAAACGATCATGTTGCTGTGCCAGAGGATTACTTCCTCACCTCGGCCCCAGCACAGCCTTGAAGCATAGAGCACAGAGGGTGTACACGTGTGTGTGTGTGTGTGTGTGTGTGTGTGTGTGTGTGCCTACACCTGGGGTTTGAGTGTGGTCTCGTGTGTATGTCTGTTAGTCTGGGTGAAAGAGCACCGAGGTGCACGTGCATGTGTGTGTGTGTGCAGACGCTTGACAATGGGGGGCGTGGAAAGAGCTCAGTTGAATATACAAGATCATAAACCAACAAATACAGTCCCCGTGACCACCAGGAACGGTGCTCTCCCACTCAGCAAGGTTCTGGAAAAATAACATGATTGTGAAGTGCTACCAAAAGTGTTGGGAGAGGCTGGACATGGAGTCAGGAGCTTCCACCCACATCTGGGCTCTGTCACTTACTTGCTCACAGGCAGAGCTCTTGGAGCTCTGTGTCCCCATCTGTGAGGCTGGGCTGCTCATCGGACACTGGGGTCCGATGGCTTGGGTTCAAATCCTGCCTCTGTAGGCACAGATGTTCTCTAAGCCTCAGTTTCCTTTGTTATAAGACAGGGATAATGAGGTCGCCTCAGAATCATGAGATTTTTGAGATATTTTATGAAACAGCTTGGCGTACTCCCAGTAAGCATGAACCAGAGGCAGGTCCTATCAAGGCAGGCCTCTTGAGCACTGGGGTCACAGGTGTGCACCACCACATGCAGCAAGAGATAATTCCGAGGAGACAAATGCAATAGAGTAACAGAGAGCTGACGAGACAAATGTAACAGTCTAGAAACAAGTCCTAGCTTGTCGCTGTGAAGAAAATGGTGTTATTTCAAGAAACTCTGGGAACAGCAGACAAATGGAACAGGACAAATGACCCTGTCATTTTCTGTCCCCTCCTTGGTTTGGGTAACAGAGCCAATAATATATTTATGGATCAAAATGGTGAGACCGAGGCGTCGCAGAAACCAGAACCCAAATGGGACTCTGGAAGTAAGATCAGCATCTCACTCTGGCTACGTCCCTCACTGTCCCCGAGTGTATGTTCACCCCCCTCTGTCCTTCTCCCACCAGGCTCTGAGCCATTCTCTCCTCAGAGGGGTCCACCTCATGATTTATTTTCCTCATCACATTTTGTGCTTCTCTGTACCCTTGTACTTGTGCGTTTAGCTGTTTATTACCTGTTACCCTGACTAGAACATTGGTCTCGTTCATGATTAGTTTCAGGTCCTAAAGCAAGGCTGGGCACGTGCCACATCCTTAGTACGTAATCCATGAAAAAATGAATGAAAGAAAACCGTTTTAAAATGTTTGTTACCTGCCAAAGACTGGGTTGAGAGTGTTGGGAATGTAGTGGTCTCGATCTTCAATGACTTTTTTGCCCAGTGTTATTTTTATGTAAGGGTCACACTGCGAGGGAGAGACAGATGAGATGAAATGTTATGTCATCGAAGGATGCAAGTTGAAGTTAGTTTCGGGGACAGACTCCCGCTTGTTTCCACACCCACTCCCAGCTGATGATAAGGTGGCAGGGCTGTGGCACCCACGCCCCTAAGATGAGGTCTGAGCAAATTCTCCTTTAGGTGGCAGGCAGCCAGGTGCCCTCAGAGCACATGTGCGGGTGAAGAGGCAGGACGGGGGCAGCCGTGGCTCTGCTTACGCTGGCCCTGTGACTGGAGAAAATCGTGTCCCTGGTCACATCTGTAAAATGAGAAGGATGAACCAACAGCCTTAAGCCCCCGCAAGCTCTTAGGTAAAGCCCCAGGAGGACAGTCCTCCTAAATACATTGTTTTGATAAAGTATCTTTCCCCCAGTGAGATAACAGACGCCCAGAAAGAAAGAACGTGACAATTATTGTGGCTGATGACTGTAATTATCTTGCTACAGGAGAAGGCCCCACACCCAAACTCTTACCAGGCCATTGTTGTCCTGGGGCTGGAGCTCTAAGCCTCGAACAATGTAAATCCTAACCGTGCATTCCTGTGGGACGCTGTCAGGTAATTCCCGAAACTGCCTGGGAGGGGCCGGCATGCTGGGGTCATCCGACAGGGGGTAGACTCGAAAAGAACCCTAAGAGAAGACACAGATGACCCTTAGGGCTCCGAGCACGCCTTTTTCGCTCAGAGCCCCAGGGACAGCCACGGGTCATGGGATCGGCCCATGGAGGGCTGCCTTTTGCAAAAGGAATAACTACATTTTTCTTTGGGAGTTTGCAATAGGGATAGTGAAATGATCATAAAGCAATTACTTAAGAGATCACAAGAGGGAAGGAAGTCAGGGCAGAGCAGGAACTCAGGCAATAGCTGGGCAGGAGATGAAGGTGACTCTGGTCAGTGCGAGGGAGGTGGTGGTAAGAAGAGGTGACATGCGTCACATACACTGGAGAGCAGAATAAACCCAATGAAGGACTGAAGGTGATTTTCCTTCTCCAGAATCACCCTGCTGCATCCTGGCCCACTCCCAGGAAGTCTTCTTCATTTCAGTCTTTCAGCTGAAAGGTGTCATCCCCTCCAGCACACCTTGGCCACCTTGGGGGTAGTTGTGTCTCTTACCTGCCTCCCTCCGGACCCGCATGCACCCTCTTGCAGTGCTGACCTCCACACCGAAATGGGCTATCCACTGTCTACATCCTCCCCTAGACAGTGAGCCTCCCGAGACAGGACATTAGTTCTTGGTCATCACTCCCTCGCCAGCGTTTAACACAGGCTGTACATCTGGCAGGGGCATGAGAAATGTGCTTTGAATGAATGCACCAGCCAGCCCACTGGAGAGATGATATGGTTTACGATATGTTGATAGTTTCCTATCTGGAAACCAGCTCCAGCATAGGGGAAGCGCTGCAGTTGAAATCAGAACATGGGGACCTTCATTCTGGTCATCTTCATTCAAGGAAGCAACAGGAGGAAAACATCTACTATGTGTCTGGGATCCCAAACTAAGGGAATTCAGTGTGGCACAGGGATATCAATAAGCTGGCCTCTCATGCTTTAACTGCATGGTGGGAGGCTGCATGAGAAGGATTTGAGATGGTGTATAGGATGTAATTCCCTGACCCATAAGCCATGTCTGTGATTGGCAAAGGATTAGGAAAAGGTAGCGTATCTGCCCTGGCTTTGCCAAGTGTGGTTGGAGGGAGTGGTAGCCATAAACACCAAGGCAAAGTGAAAGGTGCTTTCACAGTGAGTGCAGTGAACCCAGACCTTTGGGAGCGCTGAGCAGAAGTGAATCATCCCGCCTGAAGCAATCAGAGAACTCTCCAGAAAGAGCGTGACATTTGAGCTGGCACTTACAGCATGAGTACGACTTTGTCAGACCAAAGGAGGGAAGGAAGAAGAGCCTGTCCCAAGGCTCCGAGCTGTGAGAGGACAAGGCGTGTTTGGGGCTTGGGAGAGGTTCTGGGCAGGAGGGTGGGGCATGTGAAGGAAGGGTGGCAGGAGGGATTGGGGGGACATACTGCTTGTGAAAGGTCAGCTCTGTTATTGGAAGGAGTTGAGACTTGATCCTGTGGAAACCCAAGCGATGTCTCTAAGCTATCAAGACTCAGGATCACATTTGTTTACACAGGGGACGGATTGGCTGGGAGGAAAAGGTCTGAGGACAATAGACTAGCAAGTTGTCACAACCATCCTGCTGAAAACCTTGAGGACAGCGGAATATGGAGAAGGAACTCAGTCTTTCAGTCTTGGAAAGGTCTCAATGTATAGGATTCTAACCTGGATGACCTGAGCAGGGAGAAAGAGGTACTGAGAATCGCTTTGAGTGACCTGGCTCCTTACTGCCATTGGGCTTATTAGCAGCTTCTACTTCTTTCAGAGGTTGGAAGACACAGATCTGTCCCAGAGATGGTTGTCCTTTACCCTAGGAAACAAAGGCAGCTTTTAAGCAGGTGACCACATATATTTTACTCACCTTAAACTCTCCTACCACAGATGGATCTTCATTCTCCTCTGATTTTCCTCGGTACAATTTGAAGGTATCTGAGAAGTCTGTCAGGCCCTCAAAGGCAGCAACATCCTCGAGTTCACAATCATATATCTAGGAACCATCAACAAGTTCTTAATTTCTTATTAAAATACAGGTAGGGTCCAAAATCAAAAGGACTGACAATACCAAGCACACAGACAGGGCATCTGGAACTCACATAGTGCTGGTGAGACTGCAGCATGCTACAAACTTTGGGAAAAGCCTGGCATTTTCTTACGGAGTTAACTATTCACCTATCCTAGTTTTCATAAATTGCATTCCTAGATACTTACTGAAGATAAATGAAAATATGTCCCTGTGATACAAGAATGTCCATAGCAGTTTCATCACTAGGAGAACAGATAGGGCCTGGGGATTTGGCTCAGTGGTTCTACCGCCTGCCTCACAAACACAAGGTCCTAAATTCGATCCCCGGTACAAAAAAAAAAAAAAAAAAAAAGGAGAAGAGACAAACATACTCACAGAATGAAATATTTCCCAATAATAAAAAGGGAAAACCAATGACACACATTGTACAAAAGTACAGCGTGGAGGTAAAGAAGTCATGAGTACATTTATATTGAGAGGAAAGAAAAAAACAAACCCAAACAGGCAAGACCAATCTATGATATTAGAAATTAGGTCAGACAAGGAGGTGGACACCTGTAATCCCAGCTGAGGCAGGTTTGCCAAGTGAAGGCAGCCTGGGAAGTTTGGAGAGACTCGGTCTCAAACTATAAATGCATGAATGAATACGGGAATGAATGGAGCTCTGGATGTAGTTCAGGGCTCCCCGGACTCAGTCCCCAGTACTAAAGAAAAGAAGATCAGATCAGTTACCTCTGGGAGGGGGCAGGGTTAGGGAGGACTGGCTGAAAGGGCACAGAGGAACTTTCTGTGCTGGTGGAAGTGTGCTTTGTCTTGTTTGGGAAATGGCTTATACAGGTGGGTGCAATGATGAAAACATTTTATTAGGGCCAGGGATTTAGCTCAGTGGCACTGTGCCTGCCTCACGGGTGCAAGGTTCTGAGTCCGATCCCCGGTACCAAAAACAACAACAACAAAAAACAAAACAAAAACTTATTTTATGGCATATAAAAAACCTCCATAAAAATCTAGAGGAGGAGCGGAGGAGAGATGAGCGAGGAGGAAAGAGGGAAGAGAAGAAGGAGCAAAGGGAAGGAAAGAGAAGAAAGGAAAAAGAAGGGGACGAATCAATGGGGAAAGGGAAAGAGGGAAAGAGGAGAAAGTGCGAGACTGATCCCCCTGCCTCATTCAATAATGTTTTTCTAAATTAGTGATTCTTTGAATGTTGTTGTTTCTTAAGCTATAGTTGGATATTATATAATAACATGCAAGGATGTAGGTTTTTCCACTTTGAGGGGGGAAATTATTTGCATGACTAGATACTTTTTATTAAAAACTGTTTTCCTATACATTCCTGTATCTATTTTAGCATTTGCTTCTCCCTGAGTACATTAGCTATTGAAAAGTTGAAGCGTTAGAAAACTCAGGACGTTAACAGAATGATCAGAGGAGCCAGACCTGCCTGGCTCAAAAGCTAGTTTTCCTGCTGGATGTATGTGCCCGTAGTTAAGATTTTAAACTGCAGAGATGTGATGGAATCAACTTTTCAGCTAACAAAATCCCACCTCTTTCAGTCAACAGAAGGAAGCATATTGTTATCTACTGTTGTTCTGCAACACCATAACTCTGGGGTCTCCCTGAGGCAAACTGGATAACTGTTGGCTTAATTAGTGTGGTGCCAATCCATTCCCAAACCCTCTGTCAGACGCCGCCAAGTGTCCCAAAGCAGTCATACAACATAGCAGCTTTCTTAAGCCCTGGGATCTTAGCAAAGCCAAACCTGTTTGAAGAGGGCTTTCCAGGAGCTTGGAGGTACCCCTGCCCACTCCCTAACCATACCCATCATGGGATATTACAGTGTTCTTAGCTCAGTCTGAGGCCAGTTTTAATACACATTGATTCCCCAACCCGTAACAGTGTAGGTCCAGATACCTTGAGTTTGGAATAGCCTTTCTGAATATATTGTCCACATTTTTCATGTTCCCCTGATGATGCATAAAATTTGCTCCACCAGTCCACAACTTCTTCTTCCTACAGACATATCACAATGAAAACAATCTTTACTGTTGACCTGGATTTCCAATTTACACAGCAAACCTTCTATGTAATAGGTAAAAAGCTTAGGTACTTCTGTCCTGGCTAGAAGTGAAATTATGTGTCTTTGTTCACACACCCTGTGGACTAAACATTCATAGTATTTCTGCTCAGAAGCTAGAGGAGAAATGACCATCCCAAGCCAATGAAGTGTGTTTGGTTTTAATGTCCACAGTTATACTAGGTGATTCTTTTACATTCTATGCACAATCTATTAATTTTTCTGGTTTTTACTTTTTTATCCTTTTGAATTGAATGTAAACATCAACTCAACAGGGTTAAAAAAAATAAAATTTAGGGGCTGGGGATTTAGCTCAGTGGTGCTGCCGCCTGCCTCACAAGCACAAGGATCCGAGTTTGAGCCCCAGTACCAAAACATAAATAAAAAATAAAATAAAATTTACATATACAAATTAATTAAAATAAAACCTCTAATATTTTTCCACTATGTTATTTCCTTAGCCCTTTTAGCCAACAGTATATTATAATACAAAGCTTACTAAGCTAAGAGTTGAAAAACTGGTTTTAATTCAAATTCTATCTTTATGTTATAAGTCATACTCATGTTAATAGCCACAGTGGATTGGCCAAATTGGTCAACATCTCTGAATATCAATTTCTTCATCCACTGAAAGGGATAACAAAATCTACCTCCATCTACCTCAGGGAGTTGATCTAGAAATCCAATAAGATTATTAAGAGAAAAGACATGGGAAAATTAAAATGCAAAGCAAGTATAGGGAGGTGTGGTGGTTTGTTTAGCCAGTTATGGTGAACCTTTTAGAACTTTCAATGATAAAAACAGCCCTGTGCTCTCACAGGTTGAATGCACAATATATAAGTCAATTATGCCACATTTTCAAATTATAGAAATCTTCCCACTCAGATTTCTGACAATAGGTCTTCATCTAATTCAGGTATTACTGATTTTAATCTGCCTTGGAAATAGCAATGTTGCCAAAAGTACAAATATCATCTGTAACTTAGCTCTGTACTCAGTGTTGGTGTGAGAAATAAGGAACAAAGAAGCATTATTTCTCATTTGCATATATATACATACTTATATATATATATATATATATATATATATATATATATATATATATATATATACTTATGCCTATATGTATGTTAGTAAGCTTACAGGTACATGTTTATATGGACATAATACATATTATCATACACACATACTTATGTGTGGGTCACACATAGTTACAAAGAATTACTTCCCTTTGATAGATCAGAATCTAGCCCCTAGATTTAGAAAAATATTCATTTATATATCACTTGTAGGCAAGAAATACATGACTCTTAAATGCAATATGTATTATACTTACCTTTTCTGTAAGCTACACATGCACATGTGTGATCAGGAAGAGGGCAAACCACACGACAGGTCAGACAGATATAAGGTTAATGCCCCAGGAACATTTAAGGAAAGAGAAAGGAGAAATTATTTTTTCATGTATATTTCATGTATAGTATCAGTATTTTAATGAATTATTTAATTTTAGTCAAGATGTTCTCATCACTGATCACACCTTATTTATCCTCTGAAAATATATAAAAGGGTTACCCACAGTGCTCAAATGAAAGGCTCAGAAGCAGTCCCCCATGTGGTGTGTTGTTAGTGGGTCAGATAATCAGTCTCGTGGTGGTGAACACAGTGGTCGCTCAGGAGGGTTTATGTGGAGCTGCTCATCTTCCTTCCTGAAATCTTTCACCTCAATTGTACCTCCAGCTTTACCTAAATTTCAGCCCTCCGAGAACTTCCCTGTCATGCAATACTATCATGGAAGTGCCTAGTCTTCCCTACACCTCTGTTATAACACCGAATAAGCGCTCATTCACCACAACTGTTCTACTATGAGGATATCAAGTTTCTCACTGTCCAAACCCTTCTTTCTGAATTTTTTCCTAGTAAATTTGTCCCACCTCAGGGCACCTCCAACAGGTAAGCGAAGGGACAGCTAGAATGTTAGGGCTTGAATTTTCTCTTGGTACCTGCTGGGACATTAGCCAAGCTCACTTTGGAGTAATTTGAAGAAATTCTCAGAACTCCTTTTTGAAACCCTAGGTTCAAGTTCACTCCTAAGATGGAGAGAGAGCATCTGCTCCCTAAGGGCTACACTGAACAGCTGTCACACGAGGGCCACCTTGCTGGTGTAAGTGCTCCTCAGGATTTCAGGCTGGCTTTCATTCAGCACAACAGAATTGCCAACAGAGGCAGAGAGACAGATAGATGTATCAAATCTTTCTATTACATTCATTGCAGAGAAGGATTAAGGCTGAAATCATCACAAGGTGAAGTGAGATTTTGGAGAGAGAAGAATTTTTTAAAAAATCAAAAGTACTTTCGCACTCTCAGTGGTTTCTGAATTCAGATACGAAACTCACAGTCTGTTTGCTCACATCTATTTTCAGCTATACAAAACTTCTTCCAAGAAAAGAACATTTAGTGTTTTAAAAGGCATTATTAAAACAAGTTGCTGATTTTATTTTATTTTATTTATTTATTTTTTGGTACTGGGGATTGAACTCAGGTCCTTGTGCTTGCAAGGCAGGCCACTGAACCGCTGAGCTAAATCCCTGGCCCAACAAGTTGCTGATTTTAAAATTTAGGGTTAGTATGAGAGAATTCATTTGTGTCCACTTGTTCATTATTTTGTGAAGAAAAGAAATTGAAGCAACTGATGTGACTTGCTTTTTTATATCTAATAATCAACTCACGACAGGAGTCAGAGTGTTAAATGGAACAGAAGATTCTTCCCTTAGGTTTAAAACAGTCCTATTTTGTTTAAAAAATCACCTTTCACTCCAAAATCTATTAGTAGAGAGGATCTGAAGGAATTCATTTACGACTTTAGACTAAGCCCAGTCCCAGGCAGCTTCATGAGTTTTCTTATCATACATACATGCACTGTCCTTGGAGAAGCCATTTTGCTGAGTGCTGCTGAAACGCTGCTTAAGCACTGGAACTGGAAGGGAGGTGTTTAAATGGCCATGTAAGAACGCCTGTGTTATTCAACTGGCACTTGATCAATTTGTCCCAGATACTTATTTCTCATTTTTCTCATGGTAGTGCTGAGCCCATTTGTGAAGAGCCCATGGAATTCACAGGGTATCACCATGAGTTTCTGAAGCATGATGTTGTCACCTACAGACATAGCCTCCAGCCCCCAGCCACAGCACAGTTTACCCAGGAACAAAGCCTGAATCGAGTTAGTAGCAATATATATGCATGGCATATACAGCATATGTAATTCAGGAGATCAGCAAGCTTGCCACTGGCTTCTCCAAAGCTTAACACTGCTCACTTGACTTTGCAGAGTCATGCCATATTCCCCATGATGGACCGGTACAGTCATGTTTTTAGAAGTGATTTCAATCAGGCTTCTTATTTACACGGTGTACTTCAATTAGGTGTGAGAACAAGCCGATTAAAGTCATTTAGAGTGCAGTGGGAATAACTGACACTACCATTCTCAAACTTGCTAGGCTTCAAGGTTAAAGTCAGTGATGCCAAATGACTTTTTTAAGAATGTCTCACTATCTTAGCCTCAACCTCTGTTAACTACTGCTAAGAAATGAGTGGAGATGATGGCACAGATTATTGGCTTATTTTTCTCCTTATTTCCCAGCAGAATTTAGGGCTACTGAGTACACAGAAGGCATGGAATAAGAAATGATTGACAATGACAGATGGTAAAGCTGGAGGCAGATTATTAAGCAGGACATTACAGTTCTTTTTTCTTGAGCAGTGAAAATCTGCATAAAGAATCTTAAGTATATCAGACTCATCTTCCTCCAAGGTTACTGCTGTCTTACTGAGACTAACTGGGGTTGCTTACAAAGTGGAAATAGTCATTTTCCTGTATGGGATGGAGAATTTCATGTTGTCAGTTGTGACTGTGTAGAATTTCCAGGTAGTAGAATCAAATGCATTGCTGCACAGTGATGGCTGTGGAGCCCATATTTAATGTGGCCCTGTTGTTAGTGAGTTTAATACAGTTGGGAAGGAAATGGATTTTTTTTAAAGGCACTGTTTTTGGACCTAACATGTTAAAGTGCAATCGTGCATTTTTAAAACCAGTTTGCACATTAAAACATGCTGTGAAAGTTTGTCATAAATGCCAAAAGAAACAGGGAGATATTTGGTGCTTTCCTTTTTCTGGTTGAGCCATCACTGTGCCCATTTCCTTCTTGTAGAAGTAGCTTGAGTGGTCTTAAAAAAGATTCTGGAGTGAGTATTTCTATTTATTTCTTCACTTCAAAAACAAATATAAAATCCTGGGATGTCCCCCACCTTTTTTTTTTTTTTTTTTTTTTTGTGGTACTGGGGATTGAACTCCAGTCCTTGTGCTTGCAAGGCAGGCCACCAAACCGCTGAGCTAAATCCCCGGCCCTAGTATTATTGACAAATAGGGTCATTAAAAATCATGACATTTCTGCTTCCTGTAGGGAAAAACCTGGCATATCTCCTGCATTCCTGTTCTGAAGTTGCAATGCTGTCAATTTACCTCTGAAACTTCTCTTCCTGTCAAACAATATCACTTGGACCGTCCACACTAGTTGCTGTCAGACCTGAGTATATAAATTAGAATCACTGATGGGGACATATATGAAAATGCACTGATGTCTAGTTCTGTCTTGGTGTCTTGGGCCTCTTGGTGGGTAGAGATAGGCCTTGGAAGTAGATAATACTTGAAGTATTCTAGATTGCCACGACCACGCCAGTAGAGTCTGCGTGACAATGCCGGTCACCTGGCAGAAACCAGACCAGAGGTATCGTCCCCACGGGGTTAAGCCTCCTGGACGTCCTTGGCACACACCGCATGCAAAGTCAGCCGTGAAGAGAATAGCTGGCCTCTCTGCCTGCAGTTTGGGGACATTGGGTTCATCTATAATTCTGTTCTATTTTGTCTTTATTACTATTTGTTCATTATCTGTAGAATTGTATTCTGGGCCCAAGAAAGGTTAGGAACAATTAGATGTTCCTAGAGATGTGGAGATATTGAGGCACAAGAGGATGGGCGACCAAAGTGCTGACCCTGAGCCCCGGACTGTGAAGTCCTGAAGGTGAACCTGAAGGTGACATGCTAAAGCCAGTCCTTTGTCTTACAAACTTCCCCTTCTGACTGCGTATAGGTGTGGTCTTACCTTGACTCAATGGTCTTAGCTTTTGTGATGGTATATAGGTGTGGTCTTACCTTGACTTAATGGTCTTAGCTTTTGTGATGGTATATAGGTGTGGTCTTACCTTGACTTAATGGTCTTAGCTTTTGTGATGGTATATAGGTGTGGTCTTACCTTGACCTTGTGGTCTTAATTTTTACAGTACTATTGTCTATCTTATGCCTGCCTGTGACTGGAATCACTCTTGTGATGTGCCCTTGAAACTAGTATATAAACACCTGGAGTTAGAAATAAAATTGCAGCAGCATTGGCAAACTTCACCTCGGTGTTGAGTGCTTTTGTCTGACTGTCATCGCCGAACCTGCTCCCACCTTTCAGAGAACCTGTATCTCCTCGTGAAATCCCGTGTATGCTGCCCTACGGTCGGTAGCACTAGATGATTATTTAGGTAGGGCTGAGGGACTCTATAATTACAGCATCATTATAACTATTAATGAGTGCAAGATTCAGATGATTGTTTCAGTCTTCAATAAACTGGTTTGATTTCTTTTTAAATTTTAATAGCATTGAAAGGTTTTTGATTAAATTTACCAAATAAATGCTTAGACATCTGGAAGATAAGATTGATGACATCCAGTGATCAGTTCTGAAGCTTACCTTAGAAGCCAGTAATGGTTTGGTGTCTTCTATTTCAATAACAACATCCCGGCAGGGGGGTGCAGACATAAGGGAGGCTGGAAGGCAAACAATTTCATAATCTGAGATATCTAGGAAAATACAGTAGTGAGCATTCTACTCCACATTCAAGCCAACGGCCATAGGGTAGATGGTAAAGTTCATGCCTGGATGACAATTTCTGCATGGAGAGGACAACACCTGAATGTAGAAAATAACTCAACTTGTCATTGCTTTTCCCAAAATATAATATGGTTTTAGACATTTTCTAGAGGACTACATAGCTCATTTTTATTTTGTCTTGGACAATTAGTACAGTACCTATACATAGCAGGTATTACAAGTGAATTGTGTCCATTATGTCAGTCAATACATGTCTACTGGATGCAGGAATGAGGCTGAGGCCGAGAAACCTACAACTAATGGGGCCTCCTTTTCTTAGGGTTTATCCTTAGGAAAAAGAAAATAAAGAAATAAAGATGACAGGTAGGAAGTGAGTGGGAGGTAGGAGAAGGAGAGGAGAGGAGGGAAAGTTATGGAAAGCAAAGTGGATGGTTGCATATTTTGGGTTGGAAGCTGGAGTTCTTGTCCTTAGCTCTTGTTCTCAAGTGTATGGGAAGAGGAAGGCAAAAGCCCAAGTTCTATGCATTTATCTCCAAATATTTCTGACTTATGATTTTGAGGTGAGGACAAGGTCCCAGAAACAGCCCTTCCTGAGCTCTTCAGGTTTGCCAAAGGCTCAAGGGGTTGCCAAAGGCTCAACCCAGGTTGGGTAGGATAACAGGGACAACTCCCTTTTGATGGAGAAGGCAACAGGCTGTCAGAATGCACCAAAAGACAGGAACCCAGACAGAATAAACTCTGCCAAGCCAAAAACAACAACAACAAAACAAAACAAAACAAAAAACCCCCAAAAAACAAAAAAACTGTTTACCTTGTTCAGGCAATTGGCACTTTTTTTGGGATGCACAGAAGGTATCATGAGGGAAGAGGAGATACTTTTAAAAAGTTACCTACCATGTGTCAGGCACTGGTCTAAGCACTTTGCTTACATGATCTTATTTAACCCCCTCAATAATCCTTTACAATATGTGCTATTATCTCCATTTTAAATATTTAACAACAAACAAATTGAAGCTAAGAGAAAGCAAGTCATTTGCTTCAGTTTAAGCAATTAGTTGTAAATGAAAGGAAATAAATAACATACCTTGGTTTGACCCCAGAGTTTGTGTCTTAACCATTACACCAGAGCCCAGAGAACAGCAGATGCTCAGTTAGTGCCAGAGAAATGTTTAGGAGATACCAAGGACACAGAAGACACTGATATTTCTTGATGCTAGGTAGTTTTATATCCTATTAGCAGATCTATAAGCAATCGCTGCACCTCCAAGATAAGCTTGCCTGCTATTCCAGAGAACGGCAACAATACAGAACACAAGAGCCAGACGGGCAGGGTTGCACAAACAGAACTGCATGTTAGCTCCTCTCTGTTTCTGTCCTCCATTTCTGTTTGGTTTCCTTTACTGTCCTTATGTAAACAAAGCTGGCACAAGTGGTGGCATTCTGTGTTTCCAGCATTACCCCAACAAGATTTGCTCTCAGCTTTTACCCTACCAATGGTTTTAAGAAAAGACTAGAGGGCCAGGGATTTAGCTCAGTCGTTCCGCTACCTACCTTGCAAAGTGCAAGGTCCTGAGTTTGAGCCCCGGTACCAAATAATAATAATAACAACAATAACAATAACAACAACAACAACAATAAGAAAAGACTAGATTTTCTTCTTCTGGGGCTCTCTGAAGTCTTGCACATTCTCCACCTTAATAACACAGCATCACTAACCACGCCTTGGGCCCAGCGTACCCCTGAACAATAGAGGCAAACAAGCCCGAGCAGCAGTTGCTTCCTAATGATTTCACATGTTTAGACCAGAAAACCTTTTCTTGCGAAAGCAGTAGAGAAAATGATTTCTACTCATTTCAAGTAAAATAGAAGTATCTGGGGAACTGTATATAAAACTAGGGCTTGTGTCTTGTCCTCCTCTACATACTGTGAGAACAAGAGATGATAGGTCACTGCAACTCCAGACCCAAAATATGCAATCATCCACAATGTTTTCCCTCACTTCGGCATATCAAGTAAAATAATTCCTGCAGTTACAATCATTCTTGCTATCATAAAAAGTGCTATTTTGGTCACCATCAGTTTAGAACAAAACGTTTTGTATGTGATATTTTTAAATAAACACATGCAGGATTTTTCCCCTTCTCTGAATGAAGGAAGCATCCTGGGGGGGCCTTTAGAACCACAAAGCAGCTGATTTTCAGAGGTGCTGTAAGATCAAGACCAAATCTTATGGAAGCTTAAACAGAACTGGGTCATAGCACAGATGCTCAAATAGGAGATATCTGCCTCAATTCTGAAGCTATCTGAACAGGGTATTATGGTCCTTCATCAGATCTAATCTTATGAAGCCAGGAGTCCTGGGATCTTGTGCACTCAGGTGACTGATCCCTCACCCCCTAACACAGTGCCAGGCACATGGTGAGCTAAAAATAAGAAACTACTAAGTAATAGAAAAATGCTACATCATTCACTATTATTTATTTTGGAAATGTAAAGTGTTATGCTCCTGCTCCATCATTTACATAATTAATTGCTTTTAGGCTTTTTTGTGGAAATAACAATGAACTGTCTTTTAAATTACATCACAACATTGTTGTCATGCGTTAACGAGGTAGGATCACAGATGGAAAGTAATTTGAAACAAAAATCTCTTCTTTCAGTGCTCATGGAGGGGGTGGTTCCTGCTGCTTCTTAAAAGGCAAATAGGAAAGTTCATGAAGCACTTGACATTTCCTCAAATGATATGTTCATCCAGGAGTGGGACATTTCAGATGGAAATTGCTTGAACATTGCTCCCCCCACGCCCAACTCAGCAAGGGTTCCAGCCTTAGTTCCACCACTTACTAGCTGCATTTGCTCGGGAAAGTTATTTATCCCACTGTAAATGAAGTTTGTATGGTTCTCCTTTGCAGAATCTAGACAGTGAGTGCTTACCTTGAGATGCTGGTAAATAAGATCCTAAAGCATGCATAAAAAAACTCAAAAATGTTGTTTATAGACTTGCATTTTACCTTTTAGCTGTGGCACAATGTCCTCCTTGCCTGCATAAGGGTCACAGCGAAAGCGGTCCAGGTAGTCGATGGTGCACTGGCCAACAACTGGCTTCCGCCCAAACTGCCTGTGATCAATGACCTTGATCACCAGTGGAGGCATGTACAGTTCCTCCTTCGGCAAGAACTGGGGCCACAGAGAGGGGTGTCATTTCTCTTTACAAGACCAGACACGGACAGCTTTGCTGATTATTTCCTCCAAGGACCAACTCAGAGTCTTTTTGCCCAGGGAGCTCATAATAAGTAGTCCAGTAACTGAGTGCTAGGCAAATGGCTGAGTGTTAAAATCATTAGATCTCAGCCAGGCTGCTGCAGATCAAACTTTGGATCTGTCACCATGAACTGCATGCCATTAAGGAACTTTTCCAAGCCCTCTATGTAGAGTTGTGGTAGAGCTTAGAATAGTACCTGGTCCACAGTAAGTGCTCTGTAAGACTAGGTATCGTTATGTGGCACAGTATTGTTTACCATGGACCTGTATTTCCTTCCCACTGTTTCTTTTTTTCTTTCTTTCTTTCTTTTTTTTTTTTAAGACAGGGTCTCACTATGTAGCTGAGGCTTACCTGGAACTTACTATGTAGCCCAGGCTGGTCTCGAACTCACAGCGATCCTCCTGCCTCCCTCCCAAGCGTTTCTTTCTTTCTTTCTTTTTTTTTTTTAAGACAGGGTCTCACTATGTAGCTGAGGCTTACCTGGAACTTACTATGTAGCCCAGGCTGGTCTCGAACTCACAGCGATCCTCCTGCCTCAGCCTCCCAAGTGCTGAGATTACAGGTGTGCACCACGGGGTGTGGCTCCCACTCTGTTTCTTTGGTCTGATTTTTTTTTTTTTTAACCAGGGATTAAACTTGGGACCTTGTGCTTGTGAGGCAGGCAGTAGAACCACAGAGCTAAATCCTGGGCCATCCCACTCTGCTTCTTGAGAGGGGACCTGTATAAGGCTAACAAGCCCAGTACTTGAATAATTTACTAGCCAAGTCCTGAGCAGAATTTAGAAATGGTCAAAATAAAATTAAATCTCCAAGAAAAAGAACAGTGGCTGGGAGTCTTTTAGCCCTAGAAGTTCAGTACCAAGATAGGATACTCATTTTTCCTTCAGCACTCCTGTAATTTGGGACCTTGACAGCACTACCTGCTTGGAGAATTACAGGTTGGAATGGGAGCCTGCTTGTGGTTCAGTGAAATTTGTATTTCTGGCTCTGCATAAAAATAGAAGCTAGGGTTCTCTCAGTGAATCTCCTTGGTTCTGCAGACCAAAGCTAGGTTCCACACTAGAAGTGGGAGAGGAAGGTTGGGAAGTGGACAGGGATGAGTAAAGTGGCCCAGGGGCAACCAGTTAGGGCTTCTGGGATTCTGGCTCAAAGCACCTATAAAGCTCTCCATCCGCAGCACTACAGAGGAAGAATGTGGTCTTCAGAGTAGGAGGGATCTGAGCCCACATCCTAATCACTCGCATGTGTGCACTAGTCCACCTCTTCGTTTCCTCCAAAGTGAGTGTAAGAAGGGTGAAAATGTGCACCTTGCAAGATTAAAAATGAAATGTAGAGTATTCATGCTTGATTCCTGTGGCTGGGCCTGGGTCACGGTCACTGCAGCATAGAAGGGGGAGCCTGCCACTCACTGGGATGTTAACAAGTCCTTTCCCCCTCTGACTCAGTTTCCTCCTCTGTAAAATGTGAGGTTAAACCACAGAGCTCTAGAGTTCAAGAGTGGTGTGTTGGAGGCACCAAAGATAGGGAAATGATGGGCGGGGAAAGGAAATGCCTTATTTCTTTCATATAGCAAAGTAATTTTTTTTCCCATTTTGTTAAAGTTAAGGATTTAACTGATTTAACAATAGAAAGACTGGCTGACTTCGTCTCCAAATGTTATAGGGTCTGCGATGGAGGACTCTGAACTTTACCTTATGCTTCACACTTCTAATAATTGGCAGTAACTTCAGTGGAACAAGGATGCCACTAATGCAGGGTCATAGTTGTGGGATGTTAGGGGTATGGCCCACCGCCCTGTATGGCTTCCTCCATCTCTGCCCCTTTCTGAGACAATCAGTCCCTGTCTGGTGGGCTCTGACCCAAGGGTTTCCACAGGGGCGTGACTAGTGATTAATATTCTGCCCTCAGCAGGCTGACCAAGGGCTTTTAATAGTAGCTGAAGTGATGGAAAGTTTACTAGAGAAATAAATTATTGCTCACTGATACTTTTGTATCACTGAATGTTTTCCAAGCTTTAAGAAACCATCACTACAGTGTAAGAATCTAAAGGGGAAAGTAATTGACAAGCCAAGTATTAAGCAAAGCTTTTCTATTTGTTAGATTTTGGAACTAAATTCTCTCTGTGTGTAGGTTATTTATAGTTCAAATAAAGTTCAGCTACTCAACACACATGGACTGTTACAGAGTCTGGATACCGTACCACTTTCATGAAGAGAACGGAACTTGGAAAGTTGGGTGTCTTCTTAAGGTTTTTGATCACCACTGATTCTACCCTTTCCCCTCCACACTCCACAACGAGACTGGGGGACATGATAGAAGCCATCTGGTAGTTTTTCATATTTCTTAAGCCCCAAGCTAGAATCTGGAAAAATTAGTTAAAGAAAGGGAGAGAAACACAACATATTAAAAACACCATTCAAGAGGAAAAATCCTATCTTAATCACTGGCAAAGTCTTAAAGGCCAATTGGTGAAGATTTGCTTAAAATATTGGTGAATCATATCCTAGGATCCTGTAGGCCATGTAGAGAAAGTGGTTTTGCCCCCTTCCTTCCGTTTGAGCCCCTGGAATAAGAGAACTGCTAGGAGTGCAGAAATCATACTTACTATGCCATTGTGTCAACTAGGTGAATATTGACAAATTAGTTAACCTTTCCTCTTCTCATCTACAAACAGGACTGATGGTATTATCTATCACAGTGCTACTTTGAAGGTCAGTTGTTAGCTTCTCACCACAGCGTCTGACATGCAACCACTCAAAAATGATAGCTACCTGCCTCAGTCTTTGAGAACTCCTAGCAAGACAGGTGGAGAACAGAATTCGTGCAGCAACAGCTGCAAGGAGACTCCTTGGCCAGATTCTATCCATCTAGGCACCAGGTTTACTCCATCATCCTGCATCTGCCCTGTCTTCTGTGTCACCATTGCCCATCCCTCCATTTCTGTCATACCCCCTCAGGCCCCTCTGTGTGTGTGCGTACACACACACACATGCTTTCTTCTAGGTCAGATTCTCTCTCCTAGTTCTCCAGTTGACTGGAAAAACTCAGAAATCTGCCAGTTCCCAGTTAATGAAGATGTTCAATTCCTCCAGAGATACTGGGATGAACCTCTGTCTGTTTGTTTTTTTTTTTTTTTCCCCACAAACCTTCTATTTCCATGACTATTTTAAGTTTTGGAATGAACAGATTCTACAGGAAGTTAGAACTAACAAGAAAATATTCAGCAGAATGCCACTCCCTGTGTGAAAGGTTCCTGTTCAGCGGCCACATCTATTTGACTCAATCAAATGAAATACAGAGATCAGCATACCTCAATAGCAGTGAGCTGAACCACTGGCCGGATTCCCTGAGGGACCATGTATAGGTTTGGAGCCCTTTGAGAAGGAAGAATGGGAAGGTTGGATCCATCCTGTCAAACAAGCAGAATGTCAATGCTTCCCTTTTTAAGGGCAGGGTACCTAGAATTACTAACAACTTTTTAACCAGCTGAAAGAATACTTGAATGAGAATGCAGTAAGGTACCTTGTCCCTCAGAATCAGCTCTGCAGTCACAAGGACATCCCCACAGGCCTTGTCTCCATTCATGACAGGATGCCAGAGAAGTTTGGGTGTGATGTCTGTTTCTGAGTTCAGTTTCACCAGAGGGGGACAAATGCTTCGTCCTAAAAATTCATCTTTACCCTAGAGAAACAAACAAGTCTCAAATCCCCAAATATCCCTCTGAAACTTTATTATCCCCCAGGTCATCTGAGAAATTCTAAACTACATACCACTTGGTCATTGTCGAACAGTTCTATGATAACTTTGGGTGGGTTCTGTAAAATTGTTTGGGGCTCCCCATAGATTTCAACTTCGTCAAATATAATGGTTTGGTCCCATGTGGGATTTAGGGTTGAGTGGATGATCTCAGTGGTTTTGCTTCGATGGAGGAAAGAGACATGAGCATATGGATCTGTGAATAAAAAAGAGGATAATAGTGGAGCTTTGGTGAAAGTCTAGCTCCCCAGGACCCTTCATTTCAACTGAATGCCTTTCCTCTGGATACAATGATCATGGACTCTCCCCATCCACTGGGGGATAGGATTTCTGCAGAGCAGCGTGTAGAAGCGGCAGGTGACAAGGCAATTCAGGAACACCTGAAGTGAGGCCTTGATGTGTGCGGAGGATTCTCTCTGTAGAGTGTGTCCCCACCAGGCTAATTGGACACACAATCTGTCATACTCATGTAAGAGTGTGCTCTGCAGATAGACACGTCTGGTTTCAACCCACAACCCCATTACATGACCACATGCGAAAGTATTTAATCATCTTTAACTTTGGTTGGCTCCTCCAAGTGATAAAAGCATTATCTGCATCCTAGTGTCAAGGGAATGAGATGAATGCAAAGAATATATAAACTGCTCAGGGTGAGCCTATCATGTATGGTGTACTTCACAAATGGTACTTATCACTGTTTCTACCATCACTGGTCATCTATCTATTCCAGAAGTACTTACTGAGTGCCAGGTCTCAAGAGTACAGTAGTGAACAAGAAAGGGTCATATACTTTCAGCGTTTATAATTTGTGATAGCAGAAAAATTTCCAACTACTAGAGAATGGAGTAAAAGAAATGTTATATACCAAGAAGTAATCTACATTTTTCTATATGCTAAATAATTACCCCAAATCTTTTCTTCAGCTGTTAGGGGGCTGCCCTATTTGAGCAATAAAACAATGTTTAAGTCATTGTGATGTGCACTTGTTGTCTCAGCTACTTGTAGGAGGATCGCGTCAGCTCCAGAGTTGGAGACCATCATGAGCAACCCCCATATGAATAATAAATAAATGAATACGTACATATATCCATCCTTCCATCCATAATGTCTAGCCTGAAGCTTGTGTACATGCAAATGTAGCGCTTAGTTTTTAACATTCCAGGTAACAATGATATGAAAGGAATACAGATACTATTGTTCTTTGCTTATTTCTGATTATATCTTTTGTCTCAAGCTGCAAGAGATATGCTTAAAGTATTATTAAACTTCAGTCCAGAATTTTGAAAGAATTTTGACTTTCAGTGGCAGAGTGCCCTCTGGTGGAGTATATTTGAAAATGCCTCCAAAAATATTTTCAAGATGTGTCTTGTAGTATAGAAATAACCCTGACTCTGGCATAATTTGTGACGAAGGAAACCATTCACAAATGCTCATTAATTTTAGTGCTTGGGACACACTTCAGAACTGAGGCAAGTACCCTGAAGTGTCAGGCAAATGCTTTAAGAGCTGTTTCCATTCAAGGTCCAGAGAAGTTCTTCTGGTCGTCAAGGACAAAAGTGGAATAACCCCAGACACATCAGGATGGCCCCTGAATTTTCCATGTTTCCACGGGCAAAAGCACAAATCCCAGAGAGGCAGGTCTCCCTCAGCCTTCCCTTTTCTCTGTCAGTGACATTCTTCGAACAACTCCAAAGACAACAAAACCATCCAGGTATACTGCTCAGAGCCCAGTGTCATGGACAGGTTTGTGAAGTTGTGATTTTTCTGTTACCTTGAGAGAGCTACAAAAAGTGTAAAAGATAATAATATCCCAATAAAACAATAATATACCAGTCAACCCAAGGACCCAGGGATAAAAACAAAATCACATATAGAAATAGAAAACAGAAATTGCTCTTTTTGGTACTTTCTATTATTTAACTGATGATTTTTTGGGGGGGGTACCAGGGATTGAACTTGGGTCTTTGTGCTTTCAAGGCAGGTGCTGGAACCACTGAGCTAAATCCCCAACCCTTAACTGATAATTATTAAAGGGCCAAGCATCTTCTATGCATTTGTAGCACCCAGCAACAGGGCTTGAAGCATTCAATAATTATTTAGCTAACAACTAAGCAGTTTACTTCAAGTATGTGAACTAATTTAATCCCAGCATGAAAAAGTGTTTGTAGTTAGAAATGACAAGAAAGCATCCCCTTGGCTGGGGATTTAGTTCAGTGGTACAAGTGCAGACTCTGGGTTCAATTCTGGTACTAAAAAAAAAAAAAGCAAGCAATACTTGATGGAAAAGAGAGCCCAGCGATCCTGCTATGTCATAGTGTGCAGCATGGGGATTTTTTTTCCTTTTACCTGAAAAGCTGTCTTTGTCTAGAGCCATGAGGTTTCTAGCTTGATAGATATAACAGCGCAGATGGTAGATGTAGACTCCTGAAAAGAACAAGATGGAGTTTACACCCAAGAAATATAATACTACATTCTGGTATTTTTCTGGACTATTTGGAGATAATATTTGCCCCAGATAAATGGATCACATAGACCTAATTTCTCATAACAGAGAACCTGTGGTACAGTGGTACCTCAGTTCATGAATGCTTTTTTGCAAACAATTTGGTTTGCACACAGAAGTGTTTGGAAAAATTTTGTTTCTGTTTGCAAATTCTGCATTGGGTAATAAACATGACCATGGCCATTTTTTCCAAAATTGTAGAACAAATTAAGTTTATGAACTGAGGTACTATTGTAATAGTAATGCTGTATTCTCCCAAAGTGGTTTATTTCTTGCAAAATACAGCTTAAAAGTAGTCTCCCGTTATCCATGGTCTCACTTTCCACAGTTTCAGTTGCTTATTGTTCAATTGGTATGTGCAAATTTTAAGGGGAAAATTCCAGAAACATTTTATCAGTTTTAAGTTGCATACCATTGTAAGTAGTATGAAGAAATCTCAGACCATCCTGTTCCATCCCTAAATAGTATATATAGAGTTTGATATTATCTTCAATTTCAATAGTCCACTAAAGGTCTAGACTATATCCTCTACAGATAATGGGGGAATACCGAACTTTTGAAAAATCCTGTAGTAAGCCCAGTGCAAAGTGTGACAATCAGGAGAACATTATTCCCATTGTAAAATAACTGGATTTAGGGTATTGCTTGTCATACAGACCTTTAAAATAAGACTGGGTCACCAGCAGTTATTGGAATAGAGCAATCTTTACTACCCAATCTGGGATACAGTTATCTGCTAAGCATTTGTTTGATATTTCAAAATCTTTGTACTGCTTGTCTTTATTAGCATATTAATGCACACACACACACACACACACACACACACACACCCCTCTTTCACTCACACAAACATATAGTTCGAGAGATAGTAGAACATAATGACTGAACACACAGATTCTGGGGATGCTGACTACTTGTGTTCAAATCTTACCTTTTGTATATACAAACCTTAAGACATTGAGGGAAGTTATTTATTTATTTATTTTTTTTTTTGATACCAGGGATTGAACTCAGGACCTTGCTTGCACTTGTGGGGCAGGCGTGGTGCCACTGAGCTAAATCCCTGGGCCAGTTACTTAATGTTTTTGCACCTTGATTCCCTCATCTGTAAAGAGGGATCAGTGTCAGGCACCTACCTTAAAGGGTTACTATGAAGATTAAATGAGTATGCCTGACATGTGATGAGATCTATGTAAGCATTTTCTATTATTATTATTGTTATCATTAATCATTACTATTATTGTGTAGTTCTGCCTTATTCTGAAATTTCTGAAGGCTATCACTGAATCTAACCTTTATTTAAACTTGGAGCCTTTTCCCCTTAATTACAATAACAGTTGTGGGATTCAAGATGAGTACCCTACTAAACAGATTCTATTAAAATCAATGACTTAATCATCCTTTATCCCGAATATGGTACGGTTTTTAAAACTATTTACAAAATCTTCTTCACCAAATTATGACATTGAAAGTAACGTTCACATGAGATTTTTAGCATAACTGGGGACTGGAAGTAAGAGTCATAGGAGTTAAATCCAGACAGACACTCAGACTCACTGTCAAAGCTGCAGGAGACGATGGGGGTGTTGGCCCCAAACACAGTGGTGGCGCTGTGCTTCTGCATCTCCACGCTCTTCTCATCCCCGTCCTCCGTGGTGTCTGCTCCCTACAGTGGGCCCAAGCACAGCCCCAGAATAAACAAGCTCAGAGGTGAGAATCATAGACAAATGGAATGGTGGCTTTTAAAAGAGATTTTGTCTCCCAATCACCCCATTTTTCAAGATGAGTAAGGCCTAGGATAGTAGGTTACTTCCTCAGAGTCACTTAGCTGGACAGCAGCAGAAAGGAGGGAGAAGCCAATCCTTCTGCCTCAAGTCAAGGTTTATAAAACCCTGCTGCTGAAAGAAAGGGAAGATGAATAGGATATAAATAAGAGAGTTAAAAGGATGGGAGGAGAAAGAAAGAACAGCAGAAGCATACAGGTCAAAATGTAGAAATACGCCAGCTGTGGTGGACACGTCTATAATCCCAGTACTCAGGAGGCCGAGGCAGGAGGATCGCTGTGAGTTTGAGACCAGCCTGGGTTACATATTGAGTTCCAGATCAGTCTCAACTACACAGTGAGACCCTGTCTCAAAACAAACAAACAAACAAATAAATAAATAAAGCAGAAATACAAAACTGATTGCCATAGTGTTTTGTTTAGTTTAGTTTTTTGAGACAGAGTCTCACTATTATAGTTCAGGTTGGTCTTGAACTCACTAAGTAGCCCAGGCTGGCCTGGAACTTGTGATGATCCTCCTGCCTCAGCCTCCCGAGTGTTAGGGTTACAGGCATGCGCCACCACACTCTGCTGCAGTATTGTTTTAGATCATTCACTGCCATGTTCTTATTCCTTCCTTCCACCAGCCTACATTTCCCCACCTCCACCTTCTTTATTGTGCTTCCATTTGAATATTTCTGTAATTTTTGAGATATTTTTTCCTCTTCCCTCCCTCTCATATCTGCACATTTAGCTCTCCTGGTTTGTTGAACAGTTGCAGTTTCCAAGGACTGATCAAGGAACCTGTGTTTGGAATGTTGATACCTGAAACATGGGTGTTAGAACAGACATACTTGGAAAAACACTGGGGGAAGCAGGTGCGTCTGTGGGAGTATTTTTGGATCTGTTCATATGTTAATGGTCTTCTCATTATACAAGAGTTATTGAACACCTAGGATGGGTACTTTTGCTCAAACTATTTACAATCTTACAACACTGGGATTGCAAGGAGCTCCGTGAAGTGGGCAGTATTGCATTCAGTATGTATGTTTTCTCTACATCAGTTTTATTTACACTTTGGCTTCTGATTACTTACAAGGGCACCTTCCAGTTTAAAGATGGCCGCTGCACCATGTGTTTCTGAAGGAGCCATTTTTCTTCTCCAGCGTCTGCGGCGAAAAGTGTCAGAACTACGCTGTTGCCAGTGAAATTTCCAACCAATTAAAGATGCATATTCCCATCCCTCGCGGTCTTCAAATTGTTCCATGGCCTAAAGCAAAGTAAAACTTTTAGTGATAACGGCATTATTGATATTCTTTGTTTTTTGCTTGTTTGTTTTGTGGGACTGTGGATAAAACTCAGGACCTTGTTTTTGCAAGGCAGGCGCTGCACCACTGAGCTAAATCCCCAGCCCAACAATATTCTTTATACTGATTAAGCAAGTCACTGGGTTCATCAACAATAATGTAGAAATACAAATCTACTCTGGGTTCATCAACAAATACAAATCTATTCTGTGCCAAGCACTGTGCTAGGAGCAAGAGATGCATGAAACAACACAGTGGGCGGGTCTCTGCCTTTGCAGAGCTAACGTAAAGTGGAAATAGATAATCAGTCACTTATAGTGCAATGAGGTGTCAGGACGTGGGAGACAGAGGTCTAGCAGTGGTGTCTCATTCAGGCTTGGGGGTGGGATGAAACAAGTGGATTTCTGCTTAAATTGCGTTGTTTTCTCACTTCATTAGTTTATAGGAACACTACCATTGTGATGTAGTCTAAAAAAACATTATTTCCACTTTATATATGGAGTGAAAAGTTATACCTCTCCCTGAGGTGTCAAATTTCTTGCCTAAGCTAATGGCTGCTAAGCTAATAATTAGGAGACAGTCAAACACCTCTACAAACTTCTTACCCCATCAGGCTGGGATAGTTCAATAGCAAACACTCATTCGTTCCTCAGCTCATTCATTCTATTACCCTCTTTTGGAAGCACGATTCTGAGCTACCAAGGAGTTGCACAGACAATGATGGCTCCATTTTTACTTTCATTGAATTAAAAACAAAACAAAACAAACAAAAAAAGCCCCACCACATAGTACCTAATGGAGTTAGGCCTTCAAGGCAGCCGAAACAGTTCCTGTTTAGAATGAACCTAGCCATATCCAAACACCAGCCCTGTCACTTACTAGACGCGTAGCCTGTCCTGGAGTAAATCTGTCACAGATGTGTGAGCCTTATCTGTGGAGTGGACACAAAATTCAGAGCTACAGACTGCGGCAGATGGGTGTGCTGTGGCTAACACTGTGCAAGGTATGCAAAGCATGCCTCGTATTACTGCTCTGAATACGATTTTACCACGTCATTTATTACTCCATTTAGAGTCTTACACTAACTTACTTAGATAAGTATTCACCTTTCAGGTGAGAAAGAAAGCAAAGCCAGGATTTGAATCCTTCTGTATCTTGTTCTAAGTTCCAAGCTACTGCCACTAACATATTATCTATTACAATAATTTGAGTGGTCTTTTACTACCTCTATAGTGGTACCTAACATTTAACTTGCCTCAGAATCACAAGGAGGGCTTGTTGACAATCAGATTGCTGGGCTAGTCCCAGATTTTATGAGTCAGTAGGATTAGGATGAAGAAATGTTTCTCACCAATCCCCAGGTCATCGATGGTCACGGCGGTGGTGGCACTGTGTACACTCTGAAAACCTTTGAGCATAGCATTTAGCCCTTGATTTACAAATATCCCTGTAGAAATATCTCCTTAACTGAAACTCCTATTGCTCCTCTTACCCTTGCAGTGCTTGAAGGTGTTTGTGTTAAATCTTTCTTGCGTTTCCGGACCAGCCGTCGCCGTCTATGAGTGTGATACATTTTCTCTGCTGCAACCCAGGATTTTGGCTTATTATCTGGAGGGATGGTAATTCCATACTCCCAACCTGGAACAGGGTTTGTGAACAGTTACCCAAAAAGATGCATTTGCCAGACCAGTAAATAACTTTTGAGAAAACATTTAGTCCTTCTCATTGCCCCAAAACAGTTATCTACTATCATGACTGTAACAGGTTAAGCATCCCTAATCTGAAAACCTGAAATCCAAAATATTCCAAAATCTGGAGCTATTTGAGTGCCACAATACCACAAGTAGAAAATTCCACACCTAACCTCATGTGATTAGTGATAGTCAAAATAAAGGGGCACTAAAAATACTGTATAAAATTATCTTTGGGTTATGTGCATGAGGTAGATTAAACCTAAATGAATTTTGTGTTCAGATATCTCCAAGATAGCTTATTACATATAAGTATTTCAACATAAAATTCCAAATTTGAACACACTCAGGTGAGCATTGAATAAGAGACACTCAACTTAAACTTTGCTAATCTTTAACTAAATAAATATAGCCTCATACCCTGGATTCCTCCTCAGAAAGCTTTTTTGTGGTGGTGAGGTTCTCCTCTACCTTTCTGCCTCCAGTCACTCATGGCAATTGAGTGTATCTAAGAATAAAGCGCAGCACAAGGGGCAGAAGGGGACAAAGCCACAAGGGGAATAGGAGGTGGGTATGTAGTCACAGGCCCCTGTTCACTTTCAACACCACCACATGCTGGTTCTTTTCTAAATAAATAAGTTTTCTGCAGGTCGGTAAACTTGCCTATGGCTCAATTTTTCCATTAAAAGGATAAAATATACCTTTTTATAGAGTTACTTTAAGATAACCAAAATTCATGAAAAACACTGGGGCCATGTTTAGCACACAGTTATTGCTCAGTGGTATTATTGTAAGACTTGGAGTGTGCAACAAAGTTGATTTGAAATCTTTGGTGTCATTGCTGGTCCTTTCTATGCACTATTCCCTTTTATCAGAAAACAAATCACATTTTCTCTTTGACAATGACAAATGCTATAAATCATAGTATTACTAGATTACTATTCATAGACAAAGACAAACACCATTATTAACAGAAACTATGTCAATAATCTACATTATTGTTAAATAGGATTTTTTTTCTTTTCATTGAGTTTATTGGTACATTCTAAGTATACAGTACAGTTACATTCCTTACTGGGATCCTGTACCTTTACATGACAGGTCTTGGTTCTCATTTTTTCCCCTTGTCCCTGCCCTCCCTTCACCACCCCCTCCCCTCCCCATTTACAAACACTTTAATTCCATTTTTTCATTTTCCTTTCCAAGCTAGAGGGCCCCTGAGTGTGACATTCCCAGGGAAACTATGGGGTGTGATTATGACAAAGAACCTACCTAGCTCTCTCCTCAATTCTCACTCCGGATCCCCAGACATCTCAAAGCCCAAACAGTTGGTTCCATCTCACCTGCTATTTTCCACTCTTAACCTTCCCCAAAGAGAACCTGCCCTAGTGTTTACTTGTGCTTCAGATTCTTCACTTGAATGGGTGGTCACGGGTGGCACCCCAGACCAGGCTGTCGGGGACCCTTCCCCACCAGGGAACCTGCACTCTGTAAACCAAGGCCCAGCTACAAACTCATAGTCAAGTAACAGGTAGAGAACATTACCACTCTCATCCACGGCTCGATTTATGTCATACACCCATGCGTCATCTTCCCAGTCCCAACCTGGAGGACAAGTAAACTCGCCGGGTGATGCTGCTTTATCACCATTCTTCAAAAAGAAAGAAGTGGAGGGTAATTAGTCAGAGGGTTGAAAGATGCAAGAATGAGAACAATTTCTGCATATTAAAGTATGATATCCACAGGTTTACATGGATACTAAGAAATACAGTTCACTCAGAAAAACTAATCTTTATGTAAAATTGTTACATCAAAATTTATTTTTAAACCTACCCTGTTTTTACTACTAGAGAATTGTTTTAGATTTAACCTGTGAAATTGCTGTCTTTGTAGGAAAAAGTGATCGAATACATGGTTCAACTTGACACTACAAAATGTGCAACTTATCTTTATGAGGGATTAGATAAGAAAGAACTACCAGAGAACAGATCAAACATTACAAGCGCATGTTTTCAGGTACTGGGAAATGCTAATAGAGGCCCATAATGCTAAGTATGTAAGAGGGAGTAAAGTATATAAAGTTTACATAGAAACTGAGAATTATGAAAAGAAAATTAATGAGCAAAGAAAATGGAGGGGACCTGCAGACGTAGGAAAGAACATCAGCATCACTTTAAATTACGAAAGTGGAAATTGAAATAATGACAGGATACCACTTATTGATATACTGGCAAAGAAAATACAATGGGATGTGGAGTGTTCAGGCAAAAAGTCCCCTCATGCACTGTTACTGGAAATCTAAATTCATAGACCTCTTTTTAAAAAAAATACGGAACACTTGGCGAATTTGCATGTCATCCTTGTGCAGGGGCCATGCTAATCTTCTCTGTATCATTCCAATTCTAGTATATGTACTGCTTAAGTGAGCACTCACAGACCTCTTTGAAAAGAAAGTTGGCAATATTCATCAAAATTTTATATGAATTTGTTTTGACTAAGCAAATTCAAGGATCTTTCCTAGCCATAAATTTTCATAGTGAATAAACATGTATATATAAGATGTTATTTATTATTTTACTTTTTAAAAAGTGACCACAAGCCAGGTATGGTGGTGCACACCTGTAACTCCAGCACTCGGAAGGCAGAGGCAGGAAGATGGCTGTGAGTTCAAGACCAGCCTGGGCTACATAGTGAGTTCTAGGTCAGTCTCAACTACATAGTGAGACCCTGTCTCAAAAAAACAACAACAACCCCCCCAAAAAAACACAAAAAAGTGACATAACAACAAAAAAATAACAACACCCCCAAAACCAAACCTAAATATTTATGAGACTAGTTAGGTAAATTATAACAGATGCATATAATAAAATACTCTGCAGGCATTTTTAAAGCTTATAGAGCTATCTATATGTATCAATATGAAATGATGTCCAAGATATATTATCGAACAAAAACCACACGCTTAAGAATCATACATGCAACATAATTCCACTCAGCTGAGAAAAAAAGAAATCATGTACTTATATATGAAAAATATAAGTGGTTATTTTTGAGAAGGGAAATGAGTCAGAGAGAATTACTTTTCATTTCTTTTAATATTATTTGAAGTTTGTAAAAGCATGAGCCATTCATTCTTATGATTTTAAAAACTAGTTAGAGAATAAATAAAAATTTACCCTAAAAAATTTGCATACCCTAAACTTTACTCTGCAGAAACATCTAGTCACACAGGCCCATTTCTCCCATTTCTTTTTTAGTGAAGTGAGAGCTGTATTTTTGTGTGGCCTGAGTTTTGAATGGAAGGCTATTTGGAACAGAAGTAGGAGAGAGGGTGGTGGTAGGTTTCCAGAAGATCGTGATTCACAGAGATGAACAGGAGGGTTCCTCTCAAGATCGGGCAGCTCACCGCATCAGTGTAGGTATCCTCGGCTGACTTCCACTCGCCCCCGGGGTAGCGGCTCTCATTCTGGTAGACTTCATCAGTGAACTCCGTGTGGCCTGCATCTGCCTCAGTCAGCAAGCTGCAGCAAGCAAGGGCTTTGGTTACCTGAGGAGAAATGGCTACCAGCAGCTTCAGCTATTTCCAATGGTTAGGAGAAACCTGTACCATGGGAAAAGTACCAGTTCCCTCCTGCTGGACCCATGTGGGTTTTGCATTCCAGACTCCTCTTTCTACCAGGAGCTTTTGGCACTGCTTTGGAGAGCGGGTGTGCTGGAACAATGAGACCTAAATTACAGAGAACACTGCTAATGAGTTAGGTTGGTCCTTTTCTGTAGTCAGGGTGCGGATCGGGAAAACAATGTTGTGGGGAGTTTCTCAGGGGCGTTACCAACAGTTCCTTCCAGATGTTTCAGTGAAGGGCTGTTCAGCTTTTTCTTAGCAAAACTCTTCACTAACAGTTCAAAGACTAAGGAATCATCCCTTTGTGTCCCTCCCATGTAAAAAATGGAGTGGAGACCAAGTCACAAAGCCAGGTGTGGAAATGTCTACTAATGGGTTGCTTGGTCTATGCAACCTACACTGCAGGGAGGGGTTCAAATATTCTGGATGGTTCCTAGGTAGACAGCAAAACTATATCATTTAAGACTCCAAACTCTAGTTGGGTGCTTGAGAAACCCATACTGACTGTCCTTTGCCAATGTTCCTCTTGGATTTGAAAGCCTGCAGAGGGAAGTGCACAGGTTCCAGTCTTGACTTAAATCTTCTGCTAGGTACACACTAAAATCATGGTTCTTTTTTTTACCAACTCTGCATCTTTTCTCTGATTCATCTGCCCCTAAAATCAAGCACTGGAGAGGTCTAAAAAATAAATCTTGAACTGTTTGTATAAAATGGGCTCATCCACCACTTTTCTGGGCTGCAGAGAAGAATAAAAACCCTGGCTGCCACCTAACTCTAGGATTTATTCAGCCTGACATGCTTTGACCTTTTGCTTTACTAATCACAACTCCACCTACCATTCCCCGTCCTCATTCGTCTTCCTTCCTCGTGTCTAATTCAAACCCTAGTAAATTTCCTCTCCGATTTCCCTGGCTCCATCCACAGCAAGCTACCATGGATCCAAAGAAAGCACTGGGATTAACAGACACTCACACTTCCCTTCTCATTTAATGCCTATACAATGATAGGGAACAAATGCCAGAGGCTAAACTCTAGCCAGAGACCTTAAAATCTAACTTGCCAAGTTTGGTTCTTCCAAACTCAAGCGTACCATGATGGAGTGGTGAGAAGAGGAGCTCTGGTTCTAACGCTGTCGTCAGTACTTAGAAGCCAGGCTTTAGCTTCCTCCACCTCCGGGGAAAACACACTTACCTCCTTCTAGTGTTCGTTTCTCTCTATCTCTTTTAATAACAGCTTTTGAGAGATAATACACATATCATTTAAGAGCGTACCCTCTACCATTATTTGCAGATGTTCCAGCAGAATAGTTGAATGCTGGTTTGGATGCTCTATCACTTCTTGGCATTTTGGCTAAGATCCAGTGTGGTTTGGATGCCCTAGCTAAACTTAGCTTTTAGCTCTGGCTATACTACTTACAGGCTTTGTTGTCTTTGGACAAGTAACTTAATCTCTCTACATCTCCGTTTTCTCATTTGCAAAATGGAGATAATATCGTCTTCTTGGAAGGTAATTATCCATGAGTCTCTTGCACTTTTGCACATCTTGCCAGCTTAGGCAATGATTGGACTGTCCTATAGACTGTTTAAAATGTTCATGTCAGGAACAGTCTTGGAAGGCAGAGATAGATAGTATCTCTCTCCAGAACAAAATGTCCAGCATGCTCACTGCCCATTATAAAATATTTGGTTGCACCGAATTCCAGGTTCCTCTGCTGCGGTATAATTAATTGCAAGTGTAAGGGTCATCTAACCCTAATCATGACACCTTGTGGGACCTGGGGTATGGATAACTACAGAAAATGTTAGTACTCTACTGTTGTCCTTGGTGTGGGCAATAAAGTCCTTTTCTCTGAACCAGGAGTCATGCGTCTCCAGCCAGCATCCATGAAACTGTGGCAGTCAACCTTGTTAATGCAAATAGAATAAAACCTCAGACCCATATAATACTCTTCTTTTTCTCTGTTCTGTTTTTTGAGAAAGGTCTCACTACATAGTTCAGATTGGCCTTGAACTGTGTAGCCCAGGATACCCTCAAATTCACAGCAATCCTCTTGCGTAAGCCTCCCAAGTGCTGCGGTTGGAAGCATGAGGCACCAAGCCTGTCTGAGACCCAGATAACATCTGCTACTACCCTTCTGTTAGAGCTGTAGGGAGGATTAAGTAAGACGATGCTGATGCCCAGTACACTGCCTGGCACATTCTCATATAGTAAGTTCTCAGTAATTACCAGCTCCTGGGTGTTGTCTATAGTTGTCTGTCTTGTGGAATATTGATGACATCTTTCAACTGTCTATGAATTTCTATGGTGTTGTATAAATATCATCGAGAATGATGACAAAGACAATCCATCTAAGAACATGCTTCATTGCCATATTTTTTTTCCTCAGAGAATGAAATGCTTACCTTCTTTCAGGATCAACGATCCAACCTCCTTCCCATTCCCAGCCTTTTGGAGGCAAAAAGAATTCCCTCTTGAGTTTTATTTTTCCTGTGACATCAGAAAACTTATGACGTCTCACTAGTCCAGAGGTGCCCCATTTTCCAAACATGAGAGCTTGATTTTCATACTATCAAAATGAAATTAGAGAAACACCATCAGAGGGCCAGAAATAAAGTCGGCCTACAACTTCTCAGATTCATCCAGGACTTAGGCTAGACAGCCACAGAAAGTAAAAAGAAGGTTTTACATTCAGAAGGTATGAACTGAACTTGGGCTGTTGCTGATTGTGCTACTTTGGATAAGTCATTTGCTTTTTCTAAGATTCAGTGTTATCATCTGTAAACTGGAGACAACACCACCTCTCTTACGGAATTATTCTGCAGTTCTAGTGAGAAATTATGAATGTGTTTCAAAAACAGTAATATACAGTGGACCCTTGACTTAATGGACTCAATTCATCCGTGAAGGCTGGTTCTAACACAAGTTGGTTAATTGAAGGCTCAGGCTCCTCTACATAGCCTTCAAAATCTCTCCTGTGTACAGGCCTATCTCAGTGTCCTTAGAGAGACACTGGCCCAGGGTTTCTCAATTAACCCCACATAGGAAAGGATGTTGTAATGCTCTTTCCAGAACACTTCAGGGATTAAATCTGCACCTGAGACCATTTGGAAGCACAAGAGGCCAGCATTCAGGTTGCAACTCATGACTTTGTTCATAAGTTAAAACTAAAATTCCAAGTTGTTCATATGTCAGGACCGTTGTAACTTGAGGGCCCGCTGTTTAATGCTAGTTCCTTCCATTATTATTTTGAATAACTCCACACAGTTTCCTGAACCTTATATTCCTCAATTTATGAATGTGTAGATGAAAGTTTACTTGTAAATTAACTACTGAGAACTTGGGGCACATTTGCCCACAGAAATAATATTTAATTGATGTGTATTTTCCAGGCAATCCACAAAGAATACATTTGAAACCTGATGGTCTTTTAGCATCCAGCACATATAGGGGCCTAAAAATTCTGAGCCTTAATCCCCTCTGAAGTGTGGCAAGTAGACAAAGTTCTTTCTGGAAAGCAGATTTAGTGGGAATGGCAGACATTGGTTTATAGAGTATGCCTCATAAGTTAGAGATTATAAATCTATGGTGTCTGCTCTCATACTCCCATTCATGAACAGGGTTGATATTTCTCAGGGTAGTAGGTGTCCCTACGGTCCCATACTGGAATTTCCATTTGTCTGCTGATGACTCAACCAAAGAGATGGTTAGCATAAGCCATAGAGAAGTTTTTGGCTGAGAGAGGAGGGAGGCAATTTGAGTAGGGGCCTTTTGGGAAATTAGGAACAAGCATACACAGTAGGAGCATAATAATGTTATCTCAGATATTGTCTCTGAGACTGTAGAGGAGACAGCTTTAGGCAGAAGTTAAAGGAGCTGTCGTTACCAAGTGCAATGAGACTGAGGAGCATGTGACAAGGGCACAGAATGGAGGAATAAGGCATTCTTGCTGCTTCTGCCTGGAAATCAGCAGGGTCTCAGTAAAACAGTTAAAGTCTGAGCAAAGACTTCAACATGGATAAAAGGGCATCAGTAGCAGCAGAGGTGGGGTGATTAAGCGGCTGTGAGGCCTTGTGGCCTTTAGCCAGCAGCAGTAGGGGCAGAATAGTAAGAAAAAAGTATGCATGAATAACCACATGGGAAGCACCAAAGGCCGCCTAGAAATTTTCAGGAGAAATTTTTACAGAACACCAAGAACTGGTATTAGCATAGGAAGGCAAGAACCAGTAAAAGTCTTATTATATTATTTATTATTATCTTTATTAATGTGCCTGGTCTTTATGGGCCATTAGAACCTGGAGAAACTATAGAGTCACATGGAATGACTAAAAGTAGGTGGAGTTGAACTCAAGCTCAACTCTATGAAGGGAAGGACCTGGAAAAGGGGAAGAATGAAAAGAACCCCTAGGCTGGTTGACTGTTGCTCAGGGGTAGTTCCTCCAGCCTTAGTCCCAGCCACAGAGCTAGAAGGTAGGTGGACACCAAGAAATCCTACAGAAACAGGAGTGAGCCTCTCTTGCACGTATGCTCTGATTTCCCTTCTTCACACTACCCACTGGCTGGATGCCAACATCTACTCAGGGCCTCCCCAAGGCCTCCAACACAGCCTCCATTTGTCTCCAACAGCTCTTAAGCGCCTGAGTTGTGGATTGAAGTTGCACGTATGCTCTGATTTCCCTTCTTCACACTACCCACTGGCTGGATGCCAACATCTACTCAGGGCCTCCCCAAGGCCTCCAACACAGCCTCCATTTGTCTCCAACAGCTCTTCAAAGCCTGAGTTGTAAGGATTGAAGTGTCTCATGTGTTCCTAGTATTTCTTAACGTGGCCCACAGACGCCCATATCTATCCACCCACAGTATAATCACCTCTGGTGTTATTTCCTGACTCAGCTATAGGATGGCCTTGGGAGTCTGCATGTGTAACCAGTGACCCAGTTTTGCAATAATTGCAATAGACTGTGAGATCCTCGAGGGCAGGGTTTGGCTTATTCATTATCCTCATCCTAAATATTCAGTAAGTCTTTAGAGGCATCACTGAGTGAGCAAAAGGCAAACATGAAATATTTCCATAAGTTTTTTTTTGCCTAGCAAGCAGATCAGAACTACAGTCCTGAGTGAGGAACTCATTTATAGATTAGCTAGAATGAAAACAATCTTCTTATTTGAGCATGAAGGCCCATTTGCTAAATGGAGTTTATCTGAAAATTATCAGAAGAACCCTCCAAATACATCCAGTAAATTTAAATCAATAAGCACTATTGAGTTAAAAAATAGTGTATGAAGAAATCAAACTAAGTCTCTTGGCTGTCAAAGTTTGTGAAAATTGTTTTCATTATAATGAGATTTAACTAATGAAGTGAATTAAAATTCAGTGAAGGTTTTACAAATTATCTCTATTGTGTTTTTAAGTATTCCACTAGAATTTTCTTGCCCTTGAGCAAATACATCTGAGGCCTCTCCTAAATGTGCAGTGGGTCTTCTGGGATTCAAGGACTCCTACCTCAGGCAAACTTCTCAAGCTCTGAACATCTCAAGTGTCTCTGTGCCTGGGTCTGTGTGAATGTGTGAGTGTGTGCATTCTTAGTATTCCACCAACGGGGACCAATGTGCTCACTATTACTGAATTCTACTGCCAAGAGCTGGAAGGGCACCCATGTTCAGTACTGCTGGCTGGAATCATTGCACAAAGGTGAATTGCAAAGGAATCATTACAAAGGTAAATCATCACCAACAAAGGTGGTAATCACGCCCGTGTGTTCCGACTTTGGCAAACCTCCAGAGGGTCGTCTTAGCGAACCTTTTAGAGCTCTCAGTGATAACAGAGAGCCCGCTGTGGTACACATGCCATAAGTTTACCACCACTGTGACTAAGCCCCTTAAGATCCTAGGATAAAATTTTATGTGGTAGACAGCTGTGGTTGTTTTTAGTATGTGAATACTTTTCTTAAAATGAAAAGTGAAACTTCTCCCTCACCGAAAAGGAAAAGATAGTGGTGTCATTAAATATACCATTTCAGCAAAGACAGTGAAATTTCCTTCTGCAAAGCTATTGAATTTCTTCTCAACAGCACTTAAGCCCAGCCAGATGTTCACTCGCAATTCCACAGGTACCTTGGGCCCGCTGGTTTTCTCCTGTGGATACTGTAAGATGAAAAATAATATGTTACATCACATGGAGCAACACCTAGACTGTGACATTAAGTTAAAGTCAAAAGCAGACTGACTGACCATCACTGCTTTCACCAGTCTGATTTTATGTTCACTTTAGTTAAAATATTTCCAAATGACCCTATAATGGACTGCAATAACAATTAAAGCAGTAGACCTCAAGGGGTGACCCATAGTCTTGCCTTTCCCTCAGATCTATTTAGGAGGTCCACAGTTTTTATTATAGGACTAACATGGTATTTATCTTCTTCATAGTACTGACATTTGCACTGATGGTGCAAAAGCAGTGGAGGATAAAGTTGGCGATGCAGCAGGAATGAAGACAGTGACATGAAACTGTGCCCAAGGGTGTAACAGTAATGGACACAATGTCTATGTGCTTTCAAGTAGAGAAAATGAATTTCTGGCTTTACTAAATAATTCTCTTGAATTGTTTTAAAACCTAAAAAGTTTACCAAGCCTTTTCAGGTAAGATAAATGTGATTTAAGGGCCAGGGATTTAGCTCAGTGGTTTGGTGGCCTGCCTTTCAATCCCTGGTACCCCCCCAAAAAAAGAAAAAAGAAAGATAAATGTGATTTAAAAAATTTGTTTCAAGGCCAGGGATTTAGCTCAGTGGTTCTGCCACCTGCCTCGCAAGTGCTAGGGCCCGAGTTCAATCCCTGGCGCCAAATAAATAAATAGGTGAATAAAAAATAAATTAAATTAATGAAAAATTTGTTTCACATTGTACAATGAAATATACCACCATGAGGAATTTATTCCCACTGAACATGTTTGATGTTACACAACATGAATGGATAAAAGAGCTACTCAAAGTTTAAGACCAATACATTTTTATGTAACTAAGTATGAAAAATTTATTGATAGAGTTTCAGACTCCACATTGCAATTAACATTTTATTTATTTATTTATCTTTTATTTCTTCATTATTTTTTGGTACCACGGATTGAACTTGGGCCCTTGTGCTTGCGAGGCAGGTGCCAGAACCACTGAGCTAAATCCCCGACTGCAATTAACATTTTAAAATCTACAACTTGAGCTTGGTGTTATAGCACAGATGGATATCCGCAACTATCTGAAAAAGCACCCTCCATTTTCCAAATAACATATCTATGTGAGTCCAGATTCTTGTTATACACTTCAACCAAATAATATGTTCCATCAGCTTAAATGCACAGATATAAGAACCCATTTATATTTATATTAAGCAAGACATTTAAGAAGTTTAAAAAAACAAAATAATATTCTGTTGTTTGTTTTACAGAAAATATAGTTCTACTTTATAAAAATATGCTAAGTTAACAAGTGATGAATTTGTTATTGTTATTGGTGTTTTGTCTGTTTGTTCTGTAGTGCTAGCAGTTAAACCCAGGGCCTCCTGCATGCGAGGCAAGTACTTTACCACTGAAGAATGATTCCAGCTGAAGTTTCTGTCACTGTGAAATGAACTAATAAAAAGTTTTAATTTTTATATTAACTTTTATTATAGCAGATATTGATGGATATAACTGATAAAAACAAAAGCTCTCTGGGGTCTTCAATTAGTTTTTAAACAAGTTATCATGACCAAAAAACTCTACCAAATTAAGTGGTTTCTTCAGCTGGATAATAAGTTTTAATAAAATCAGTGAATATATAAAGCAATTTCTTAAAGGCTTTTGCTGTTTATTTACTGAGTTCCAAAGCCTAACACATAGCATGTCCTTCTATCTATCCCCTTTCCCACCTCCTGTGAAATTTCATTTATTAACCAGTTTGCTTCCACCCACTGCTGAGGTCAATTATAATTGTGGTTCTATCTTGAGTAAGATTTATTCTGCAAAGAACACTCGAAAAAAGATAATCACTCTGGTTCTATTTATACCCTCCTGATTAAAAAGCATTGAGTACATTTATTAGAAGTTAGCAGAGACTTCCTTATATTAAGAAAACACACTTCTTTAACTCTGCTTTTTGCTCTTCTTGATATTTAGTTAGTTTTCTTCCCCAAATCCAACTCACTATTCCAGTTGGGGTTACTAGGGAGAGAATGTTGAAATATACAGACAGGAACTGTTGCAATTCCTTTGTTTCCAGTTCCATCTTTCCTTTGGTTTTCCAGTGCAAACACAGAGTTCCTCATCAGAAGTTCTGGGATGGGGGGTGGGGATTTAGCTCAGTGGTTCCGGCTCCTGCCTTGCAAGCACAAGGACCCGAGTTCAATCCCCAGGACCAAAAAGAAGTTCTGGGATGGGGTTATGGGTTTTATGAAGCTTCCGACTAAATGCAGAACATCAGATGCAAGTGTGATGTATGCTGTTCTAGAGAAGAAGGCTGCGGGCACTCAAGCCTGTAACTCTAAAAGTGTTTAGAACCCCTGCCCTAAGGTAGCGATTATCAAAATGTTTGAATCTGAGGACTCGTTTGGTTAGAGCAATAGATTCCATAGATAAAAGCTCTACCACCTTCTCTTTCCCTGCACACACTAGAAGTAAAGGAAAGAAAGGCATCCCTCTGCATGAATCATCAGAAGGAAGCAGAAAATTCATACCATGTTACAATGCCATGTCAGTGCTAATATCACGATGTCACCAAGAAGGGTGTCCGTGATGAATGCCAACTGACCTCTGATGACTCTGAGGATTATCGCCCTAAAAGGAGGTGTCAAAATGGGCTAGAACTGATTACAGTCACCATAGCTATTCAATGGTTAGCAAATTATAAAGCAAGCCCTTCTCCAGAAGACAAGTTTTGGGTATAAATATTTCACAACACACGAAGAAGACATACCTTCAGAAGGATGGTTTGGGTTTTCCCACAGTATTTTCCAGATGCCTTCTCACCACTAGTGGAGTACAAAACCTGATGTGCAGGAACTCGTGCATAGGCCAGTCTTTTCTCTCCCCTAATCATCCAGATGATAACATCAGGCATACTGTTCTGTGGCTGGGCACGTAGGTTGCATGGAAAAGGAAGAAAGTTTAGGATTAGTCTAAATGCAGAGGACTGGACATGCTGCAGACTGGACTCTCTGGGCTCCTCTAAGAGGTGCTGTGACTCACATCTGGGGACTCACATCTTCTTACAGGACCACACCATGAAGGGCTTGGAGACAGCCTGCAGCTGGCCAAGTGGAAAACAGAAGGCAGCTGATCAGAGCCACTGGAAAACACCCTACCTAATCTTCTCAGAGGGGTTTTAGGAGACACTCCCTCTTAGCTCAAGTGTTATTTGAAGAAAGACATCAGCAGCAATTAAAGGGCTGCAACTTACATATGCTTTACAAACCATACATCATCTCTGTCTCACAATCCATTACTTGCCAATTCTGAAATAATAATTTTAGTTTTTAGAAAACCCTCTTTTTTCTGATCATAAAAGAATTATAAATTCACTAAAGAAAACTTGGACAGTAACAATGCATGCAAAGTATAAAACAAAAATTACTTGTAGTCCTGTATGTATTTTGAAAAATGTTTCTACTTGAAAACATACCACCACCCACAAGTTATGGTTTGAATGTGTCTCTCAAGATTCACGTGTTGGAAACTTTATCCCTAATACAACCGACTTGGGAGATGGGGCCTAATAGGTAATTAGGTCAGGAGGGAGGCAGGCAGTGTCTTCATGAATAGGTTCACTTTGTTATCAAGGAAGTGGGTTAGTTATCATGAATAGGCTTGTTATGATCCAGTCCCCTCTTACTTGCTTGCTTTGTCATCCTCTCTGGCCCTTTTGCCTTATGCCATGGGATGATCAAACAAGAAAGCTCTGGATAGGTACAGGTTCCTCATTGGACTTCCTAACCTCTAGAACTGTAAGAAATAAATCTCTCATCTTTATAAATGACTCAGACTCTGGCATTCTGTTATAGCAATGACAGGAACGACACTCTCCTTCAACACTGGAAAAACAGGGAAAAGTTGTCTTCGCTTCCTTGTTATTTCAGTCCACTGAGTTGACTGGCAGACAATGTTTATCTAGCACTTGCTGTGTGCTCTGCACTGTGCTAAGCATTTTGCAATCATCGTCTCCTTTAAATCTTCACACAACAATGCCATGAAGTAAGTACTATGTTTAATTCCATTTACATATGGGAAAACTGAAGTTTAGATCAAATAACTTGTCCAAGGTAGCACATATCAGATCCAAGATTTAAATCCAGGTCTTTCCAACCCTAACCAAACTTAGCATTTTAATCCTCTGTACTACACAGTTCTGCTACTTTATCACTCAAAGTATTCTGAGTACTTGGAAAATGATGACAGGCCTGTTTTGGAAACCTTTCCAGGACCCAGCTAAAAATTCTTCTCTTCAATTGATTTCAATGGCTTTTGCCCCCATTATCCAGTGTCATCCTTAGCCCAGTAACTCCTTGATTTCTATCATTGGTCAGATCAGTTCATATCCTAGACAACACATTAGATACTCCATCCATAGTACCATTGCACAGAATCCTTCTTCCACATCATGTGACATTTATGTAGTTTAAAGTTCTTACCTCTTCAGTCAGTTGCGTTAACTTATCAAGCCAGTCCTCAATTTCTAACAGTGTGGCCTTCATATCTGTGGCTTCAGACCTCATTCTCACAGCTGCCTCATGTATCTGGGAGAGAGATCTGGACCGTAACTTTTGTATCTGAGTATCAAGAATTGTGACATTAGGTTTTCCTTCTGTGAAAGGCAAGGTGTAACTGAAAAAAAAAAAAAAAAAAA